TCGTGGAGTGGCCGTGAGTGGTAAGCAGGGTGACCATGTGACTTATAATCTTGACACAACACTTGGGGCATCAGAGGGGTTCCTTTTTGTAATTATGAACTTGTCCCATGCAAATTGGGATGCTTGTTCACATCTAAATCTAAATAGGGTCAGTGCCTATCATATGCTGAGTACAGTGCCTGGTGCCCAGAGGGAGCGCTCCAGAACTGTTAACACTGTGCTGTTACGATTGTTGACCTTCACAGCAATTATAGTAGGCTTAGTGTTAAGTTTTATTATGTTTATTTATTAATTATATTATGTTTGGTATTTCACATTAAAATTTTTTAATCTCCCCCCCAATAAAAGGATCTATAAACAAAAGTCAAATATAAACTCAATTCCCATTGCCGAAGGAGCTAATATGGTTTCCAAGATGCTTAGTAGTAAAGAATTCAGTGGCCAATGAGAAGAACCTCATGCACGCTCCTAGAATAATCTGCTCATGGGTAGTTTGCTCCTACAAGTCAAATTACCAAAATAAACAACAACAAAATAAAAAGCTGACTAAAATTAATATGAGGAGCCACAATTTATTTCCAATGCCTTTCCCACATTTATAAAGTAGGGAAATCTGATTCTAAAAATAAAAAATAAGCTACAAAAAAAGGCTCACCTACAGCAAACCTCCTGGTTTTATGTTGTTTCAACTCAGAGAAGAATTGGTCTTCAAGTAATTATCAAATACAATAAATGAATGTTAGAGGAAGAGCAGTCGGTGTGATGTCAGGGGCGGAAAGACAGCAGAGAATGAGTGGGACCTGCACCGCATTTCTTCTCTTCCATGGTTGGAGGCTTCCCACCATCCTCCACCCACCTCTCCCACCAACCTCAGGGACACAAAATCAGTCATGGAAAGGTTTTCATGTGAAAATCTGTGATGCGGATTTGTGATCATGAGGAGCTGTGGTGTGTGTGGTGTGGTGCTGCCTCACCTGGCTGCCCGCCGTGCTGGCTGCGGCCCTCTGCACACACAGTGCCCAGGGCAGACTTTCCCTTTGGTGTATCTCTTGGGGGGGTGTTATGGTTGGATACATGGTGTCCCCAAAAGCTCATGTGTGAGACAGTGCAAGAAAGTTTAGCCTTGACCTAATCAGTGCGTTAATCCACTCGAATGGATTAACTGGGTGATGACTGTAGGCAAGGCAGGGTGGAGGAGCTGGGTCACTGGGAGCATGCCTTTGGGGTTTATAGTTTGTTTTGTGGTAGGTTTTTTTTTTTTTTTTTTGGTACTGAGGATTGAACCTAAGGGTGCTTAACCACGGAGCCACATCCCCAGCCCTTTTTATATTTTATCTAGAGACAGGATCTTGCTAAGTTGCCTAAGGCCTTGCTAAGTTACTGAGGCTGGCTTTGAATTTGCAATCCTCCTGCCTCAGCCTCCTGAGTGACTGGGATCACAGGCGAGTGGTACCACTTCCTGATGGGGTTTACATTTTGTCCTGGTGAGGGAAGCTCTCTCCCTGCTTCCTGGCACCATGTCCCCACGCTTTCCTGCAGCACACTCTTCCTCCATGATGTGCCACCTCACCTCAGGCCCCAGAAATGGAGTCGGCCGTCTGTGGATGAAGACCTTCCACATTGTGAGCCTTAAATAAACTTTTCCTAAAGGGTCTAACATTGTTAAAATTGTTCTTATCGGGTCTTTTGAGCACAGCAGTGAAATCGCTGACTTAATCGTGAGATTATCAAGTAATCCTGTGTTTAGGGTGGCACAGAGTATCCTTCCTGGTTTTTTGGATTAAGCAATTCCCCAGCAGAAACTGGACCCAACTTTCATGGGTCCTCTGGTGGCCTGAACAGCCCTTTGCTGCCTGCTGACTGGAAGAGTGAATGTCACAACTGCCCCCCCCCCCCCCCGGGGAACCTTCAGAAGCATCCCTCAGAAGGGCGCCTCCATCAAGAACCTTTCTAGTGGAGGATTTAATTCTACCTTTTTTTTATAGCTGTTAAAAACAAAAATACATTTGAAGCAAAATGATTTAATAAGCAGCTAGGCCAATTTCTTCACCTACTCCATCTCTTTGGAGAAGGCGGAGCAATCTCTGCCCACCACGCTGAGTATTGGGGGGAAACTGAGTTTTCTCAGTGTCGAGGAGCGCCTAATCTGGAAGAGTCTACTGGCAGGAGATAATTCCTGTCAGAAATCCAGCACTAAGGGCTGGGGCTGGGGCTTAGCAGCAGAGCACTCGCCTACCATGCATGAGGCACTGGGTTCGATCCTCAGCACCACATAAAAATAAAATAAATGTATGTGTCCACCTACATCTAAAAAAAATAAATGTAAAAAGAAAAAAAGAAATCCAGAACTAAAAATCAGGTGTTTTGTGTGGCAGCATCTCTCAGACCCTGCTCCCCACAATTTGGAGAAAAATCATAAAAGTATTGCCCATAAACCCTGCTGCCCCACATTCACCCAAAGTACCGCCCAGCACAGAAACTCCCCTGGCAGCCAAGTAGGGATTTGAGGGAGCCGATGCTTTATTTTCTCCAGTTCTTTCAATTCATCATTTTTACCGGTGCCTAGAGAGATGGAGCAAGCAGAGTGCAGGAAAAGGGCAACCGTAGAGTTTCCAACTAACACACGTTGAGCAGAATGAAAATGCCCATGTCCCTGAAAACATTTGTTTTTGTTTTTTCTTTTTTACTTCATTGACTCTAAAATTTCCCCAGTGGGGCGTGGTGGTGCACGCCTACCATCCCAGTGAATTGGGAGGCTGAAGTAGGAGGACGGCAAGTTCGAGGCGAGCTGAGCAATTTAGTGAGGCCCTGTTTCAAAAAATAAAGGTCTGGGGATGTGGCTTAGTGACAGAGCACCTGGGTTCAACCTCTAATACAAGAAAACAAAATATTCCACAGGATGTATGTTCATTTTATCAGGTTAGACAGCACAATACAGGAATGATCTCCCTTTGTCTTCCCCACCAACTTCTGATAACCATACCTGATATTCCTATTAACGCACAGTAGTCTATTTAAAGGAGTCCTCATTCTTCTTAAAGTAGCTTTTAAGTACAGAACAACACACATCTACTGTCACACTATACGTACCACTCTGGAACCTTTTCTCAACTACCCTACCTTGGACGTCCTTCAGGGGATGCAGACCCAGCTCATTTATTATAAAACAAAAAAAGGAGCATGTGCCACAGTGTCCGTGGGTCTTACTCCACCCCGTTGTTCCTGGGACACACGTCCCAGTGGCTTCTAACTTGGTCTCTGTGATACTGCTGCAGTGGGTGCCTGTCCGTCACCAGTCGGGGCCGCATGGTCCTCAAACTCCACTCTCAGGCCACACAGACTCCTCCTGGTGTCCTCCTGTTGCAGCTGTCCCTCTGGAGGCCCAGCTCCTGTCCTGCCCTCGCCGCCACCCCCTCTTCCCCTCACCCTCTTCTGCGTCCATCGAGGGCCTGCCTGGTGCGGCCTTCCCGCTCGCTTGCCGTCTGCATTTCCTCCTTCTCCACTGACGCCTGAGTGCCCGTGTTCCTGGGCATGGCCTGTGCCCAGGCCCTCCTCTCCCGCTCAGTGCTCCTCCCTTAGCTCCTCATCCATTCTCACCACCTTCCGTGCCGCCAGCACCTCCCCAAAGCCTGTCACCAGGCAGAGCTCGCCCGGGATCTGGGACACTGTGGGCCTGTTAGTGCCTCTGCTTGCTGCGCCTGAGTCCACACGCCTCCAGCAGAGCCCCTGGCCGATCCTTCACAGCACTGGTCCGCTCTCCCCTTTCCACCTGAGTCGGGCACAGCTGGCATGGAGGGCTGTGGGCCTGCAGCAGCTCTTTGCCAGGTGTGGGAGGCGACGGGATGGAGGAAGGGGCCCTGCTTGGGGTCCCTGCTGAGTCGAAGCTCAGGGTGAGGACGTGAGATCAGAGGAGCCCAGAGGCAGGCCGTGCCCAGGCCCTCCCGCCCTCCACCTGGTCCTCGGTGATCCCCCTGGTGACAAGGTGGGTGCAAGGACAAAGCGGGAAGACAGTGGTCCCTGGGCTTCCCACCAGCTCTGCAGAGAAGTGGCCCAGGAGTCATGGTGAGGGGACAGGGGCTGAAGGGGTCATTGAAGGGGTAATGAGGCCTTTGCCCTCATGTTGACATAAGAAATAGTTTCTCTAAAAAGCCTGCTGTGGAGTCCCTGGCCTCCTCGGACACTCTGGGCCTACAGGGCACCTGTGGCCGGGCCATATTAATAACAGTAAGCCCCTGTGCAGACCTTGAAAGCGCCCTTCTGTATGGGACAGGAGGGTAAGGGCAGGGAGCCCTGGGGGCCAGAGTGCAGAATCAGACACCTACCCCTCAGTCCCTCCCAGGAGGGGAGCTAGAGCCCCAAATCACTGACACCGGAGGACCCTCCAGCAGAAACAGCTGCAAGAAATGGTTTTTATGAAGTTGCCATGTTTAAGGTCTACTCTGTATCAGCTCGGCCAGAACCACCATATGTGAATTGTTAATAAAAAGTATTTTTTTAACTTTTCAGCAACAGGTTTGTAAACAGAGTTCTTCAGCATTGACAGTGTAGCGCTGTGCTAAGCACTGCGCATGTGTTACTGTGTGGACCCTCCGACCTAGTTCACAGATGAGGAAACGGAGGAGTAAAGGTTACGCAGCTTTCCCAAGGTCATCTGTTATTTTCTGAAGTTTGGGCCTGCGTTTACCTGGACACACGAGACCTGTCTCCCACTCATTTTTCATCCCTCTCTTTTTCTTTCTTCACTGTCAATTTGCTTATCTTTCTTGAATGCAGATTTCTTTTCTGACATTTCTCTGATTCTTACAGTGAGTTAGGTACCAGTGTAGTTGTGTTATTTTCAAAGGAGTACAAAGTGACTGTTCCTGGGTGCCATGAATGTTCCCTCTGGCTCTGGCCACCGAGAGGCCTGCTGCGCTGGGTGGGCATCCCACGGTGAGTGTTGCTCATTCTTTTTTCAGGATCCATGTCTACCTAACATTCCTCTTGTTTCTCGCTGAAAGGAAGAAGATCTCTCTCCCCGTGGCGGCTGTCACCAGTCTATGGCTTCGGCACCTTCCCAGCCTTGAAAGAGCAGTGCTATGTCTTTTTGAAAAGCTCGTCTCCAGTGAGAGGCATCGTCTGAGAGAGATCGAGTGCTTTGTCAAAGACTCATTACTGGTACGTGCGAGGCTTGGTGAGGGGAAAATCCTCAAGGGAGATGCTGGGAATCGTTTCTTGGAGTTGAGGGTGGGGCGGGTGTAAATAGGAGATGGGTGTTTACATTTGATCTAGAAAGCACCCGGTTCGCCAGCTTTTCTATGCACTTGGTGCCTAGGGGGAGAGGTTTGAGAGCCACATGATCCCTGGGCCTCAGATGGTGTATTCACAGGATGGACATTTAGACAGCAAAGGTGCTGGGGGCTCTGCAAAGGAGCACTTTATTGGCCCCTCCCCGTTGCACTTGTCGGAACGCAGTCCGCTCTGTCCGCGGCCCGCCTTCTCCCCACACCACAGGATGGTGGTGCTCGGGAAGGAGGCTGAGCACTGCTCTTCCCCGGCCCCCCTGTCCCGGCCACAGGTGCCCTGCAGGCCTGGGGTGCCCAAGGAGGCCAGGGACTCCACAGCAGGCTTTTTAGAGATACTATTTCTTATTTCAACATGAGGGGGAAGTTTTCTAAAAATGAAGATCTGTGGCCAAGGGAGAGGAGGAATCAGTTAACAGAAACAGTTTAAGAATAAGCCTCTTGCTCTTCACCAGAGGAACAGTAGCAGTCAGGAGACCAAAAGAGAACCCAGAAAAACGACCAGAGCAGCGAGAGAGCTGAGGTTCTGGAACTTTCTCTTGGGTGAGGCTCTCAGCCTTGGAACCTCCTTCTGTGATGGCTCCACTGCCTTCATCCCCAGGCCTGTGAAGTCAAGGACTCAGTGGCCCCAGGGCCACACTGCCTGGCCCAGCGTCAGCCGTCCTGCGGCTCCTTCTGTGGGAGGCAGCTCTGTGCAGTCAGTGTGCAGTTATGTTAAGAAATCAAGATGAAAAAATCGAAAAAGCTACATGTCACAGTGGACCAGCCAGGGTGGCCCCACTCCTTGGTCCTTTTATCTCTCAATCAAGCGACAAGTGAATGAGGCATGGGTAGTTTCCACATGACCTGGTTTGTACCAAGACATACAAGAGCAGAATGAGTACAGATAAGCACAGGAATGTGTGAAAATGTAGACAAAAATAGGCAGAAGAAAGCCGAGCGTGTTGGCGCACCCTCCTGAGTGTTGAGGCCAGCACTCAGGAGGCTGAGACAGGAGGGTGCCCTGAGCCCAGGGGTTCTCATCTCAAAGCAAAGGGGAAAAGTCAAAATAACAGATTGTGTCCACAGAAGAAAGGTCTGGAGACTGTGCTGTCAAGCCACACTCGTTGGCTGTGTGTTGCTGTGAAGGCCGCAGCCCAGGGGGACCTGTTCTCTGGGGCAGAGCGTGGACTACGGGGTGTAGTCGCAGCAAGTGTCGTGTCTCCGAGGCCATCTGAGGATGCTGGTGCCCACTCCTAGCAGGCACATGACCAGGCCTCGGGGTCGGGAGAGAAAAGCCCAGGATATCAGCTCCTTTGCATGTTGGTGACAGCTGTCAGCCGCTTGGCTCAAGTCACACCTGTGTGACAAGAGAAAGCCCAAAGTGGAGTTGGTGCTGTCAGAGCATAGCCACATCTGTCACACTTGCACCACCAGCTGGAGAGTCACAGGGGTGATGACGTGGCAAGCTGCCATCGCCGCAGGGCTGTGCCGTGTGCCACAGAGTGTCTCCCAGGACCCTTCGTGGACTGCACTGTTTCCCATCCACTGTCACCTCTGAGGGTTTGGCACAGAGTCGTGAGCTCAGAGAGCTCTGCTGACAGCCCCATCCCAAGTGTGGCCAGGACACGGGTCGGGAGTGTCCACCTGGTCCTGGCTGAGACGCTTGGGGCCAGGGCTGGCTGGGCCCAAGGTCCTATGCTCACCAGCAGGGCCTCGTTGCCTCCAGGGCCTCCTCTGTGTTTAATTCTGCTGGAACCTCCTGTTTTCTTCTTTCTCTTTCAAGCTGGAGGCTGAGTGTGGGAATCCCGGTGGCACCAGTTGCCGCCTCCTCTGGGGCCTGCCCACCTGTTGTTCCAGGGCCCCTCCTGCTCTTAGTGTCTGGGCTTCCCAGTCAGAGAACCATGTGGGTCCTGCCACTGTCACCTGCCAGTCGGGTGCCCCGACTGAACCCACTCGATCTGAAAGTTTACAGCACGTGGTAAGAAAAAAGAAAGAAAAACACGTATTAAGACTGAGAGACCCCAAGAGTTCATTTTTAAGGGCAGTTACTATTTGATCTCCTCATTTTCAAGAGAGTTGCATATTAAAGCAAGAGATAAGAATGCACCTTACTTTAAAATAATCACAACACAATTTAAAATAAACAAAAAATTTTGGAAGCCCTCTGGCAGCCCATTCCAGATTGCTAAAGGCAATAAATCACCTTTATTGCCTCGTAATTTTATTTCTGACTTAAATGTGCATGCTGTAACTTAAGGCACTTTTCTTCTGGTTGCTTCTCAGCGGTAAAATAGAGAAAGTGGACTATGTGCTTCTGAGAGGCTTGACCAGTTTTCTGTGAGCCCCTTTCAGTGGAGAACTTCCCGCCCTGTGGGTTTTTCCGTGACCTTTCATTGCTCCTGTGGCTCTTCTCTGAACCTCCCCTGTGTCCCTTCTACGTGAGTGGCACTTTAGTGAGCACAGCAGAGAGAGAGGCGCCTCTCCCATCGGACATCACATTGCAGAATCTTCAGGCACTGTTTGTAGTGAACCGTAGCCTTGCCCGCTGAACAATGCCAGCGCCCATCGATTCCCCAAGAGTTTATCAGGATCATGTGTTAGAGATTCAGAGCTTTTATTATGGTTCAAAGGAGATTCTAGAGGGTGTTATTTGGTTTAATTTATTGTGGCATTGGCAGGATGTGACCTCTCTGTGCCTCATGGTTCATGGGAGGTAATTACAATACAGACTGGCTAGAAGCCCCTGATTGGCGTGGGCCACTCTCCCCAGGCATCGTGGCCTGCCATGCCCGAGGGCCCCTCGGGCTGGAACAAGCCTGTGACCTACAGGGTGATTATGGGGGTAACCTGAAGAACTGCTTCCTAATTGCATCATCCGACCTGTTTATCGCAGCGCAGTATCTTGGTGCAGTGACAGGACCGAGCCGAGGTATCAGCTGGATCTCCAAGATCCAGCACCAGCCTGCTGTGCTGTGCTGCAGAGGAAACCCGATGCCTATTACATTAGAGTCCGGCTCTGAGAGTGATTAAAGCGTGATGGTCTACGTAACTCGTGTTTTATATGGAACGCCGTTAATTATATTTCCATCTCTGGGGACTCTACACAGCAAGTCCTGGAAATTCTATAGTTACCAAGATATAGCAAAGCACAAGATGAAAGTGCTGTAGAGTGCGGTGACCTCCCAGATGTTCCTTGGCCTTTCAGGACTGCAGAGGCCTGGTGTGCTCCACTGAGACTCCAAATGATAGGGACTGGTCTGTTGTCACATGAATTTTATACACACACACACACATACACACACACATCTTTGGTTTCTAAAATAAAAATGAGTTTTCCAAACTGTTTATTTTGGGGGCTCATCCTTTGGCTTTCATGGACCAAACTGTCCCCTAGTACATGGCTGCTTGCCACAGATGGTGGCCCCCAGATAAATTGAAGTTTGTACAAGTTTTAACCCCAGTTTTTACTGTACAGACTGAAACTTCTTAAAAGAAGATGGTCTTAGCCAGGAGTGGTGGTGCACACTATAATCCCAGCATCTCAGGAGGCTGAAGCAGGAGGATCATGAGTTCAAGGCCAGCCTCAGCAATTTAGTGAGGCCCTAAGCAACTCAGCAAGACCCTGTCTCGCAGTAAAAAATAAGAAATGGCTGGGGATGTGGAACACTTCTGGCTCAATCCCAGAACCCAAGCAAACCACAGCAACAAGAAAGAAAAGAAAAGACAGACGGTGCTTTGCTCCCTGGCAGCACCGTCACAGGAAGGCCACAACCCCTGGCCTCAGACCTGCCCTTAAAGACTGGTGCTGTCACCAAGAGCAGTGGAAGCCACTCGCAAAGCATGCAGCCTCTGGGTTTCCGAGGCTGGCCCCAATCAGAACGAGGCTGTGCTTCCCCTTGGTTCTGTTGGTGGGCCCAGAGAGCTATTGTTTGGAGCCCGCCCTGAGTGAGAAGGCTGGCAGGTGGCAGGGTGCCTGCGCTACGCTGCTGTGTGCCAGGGCGGGGCACCCTGGACCTGCAGTTATGGCTACTGCAGCGGTGTCCTGAGGAGCTGCTTGTCACCTCCCCAGCAGATGGAGAGGCTGGCACTGAGGGGGCAGGGTTGGTTTGGGTCTTGTGCCCAGGTGATGAGTCCACTCCTCCCCGAGTCTCCTGCCTAAAAGGCCTCACAGCTCAACCAAAGCACTTCTTAACTCGAAAGAGCTTCAGAACAAAAGCTCTGGCCACCTCAGGGCTCTTGGTGTGAGCTAAGTGTGCGCTCGTCTTCTTTCTCCAGACAGCAGTCGTGACCATCTCAAAAGGAAAAAGGGACTTTGTTTCCACAAGACCGCAGGGCACAGGTTCCCTTTCGCAAAATGCTGTGATGGAAACAGCTCCACAGCCTGCACCATGTGATCCGTTTCTGTGCACAGATAGCTGTCACTGATGCTCTAGAGTTTCCTTTTCCTCGTTTTCCCCTCCACAGTCTTTTAAGTGTTTCCTTTTTAATGTGTTGCATGAGTGGAAGACTCTCAGCAGTGGCTGAAGCTGTGGGCTCTGCCTCCAGGCAGCAGCTGCACTTCCCAGTGCTGACCTCTGGGGGGCACCAGATGCCCCTGGACTGTCTGGTAGAGAAAGCCCAGACTGCAGGACAGTGTCCCTGCTGGGGATGTGACCCTGCAGCCAGGCAAAGATGGAGCCTGCGAGGGAAAACACACAGGCGGACAGCAACAGAAGCCAGGGCAGCCGTGCCCCGGGCGTCCTTTACCACTCAGGCTGGCCCCAGAGTGGTGTGGGCACCGAGAAAGCTTCCCCCTGCTCAGGCTGGCTGGATCCAGGCACTGGTCCAGGGACCAGATTTCAGGGATTTTTGTCCAGCGTCCAGAGCTGGGCATCCCCCAGGTGCACCTCCCACTTCAGTGTCTTAGAGAGCGTGTGTAAATTTAAAACGCAAAAGTACATTTGGTACTTGTTAAGTTTTTAAGCCCAGGAATGACAGATTTATCACTAATTAAACAATAATTGCATTATGGAGTACTGAAAAAAATTGCTCGTAGTATAAACAACATCTGGTAAAGATTAAAAAGAAAGAATAATTCCTCTAAACCCAAATTTATTGTAAGAAACTTGAATGTTTTAAAACAAAATAGATCCTAAAGCGTAAAAGGAATATTTACAGTTTTATGTTTAGCATTTTGAAAATAGGGGGAAAATGGCATCATGAAAAATCCATATTTATAAAGATGCCTAATTTTATATGGTAGATGTGAAGGTTTTTATATAAATAGATTGTTTGAAAACCAAATCATTCTTTAACTCAATAAAGGCGTTTATTGTTGGAATTAATCTTAGGGAGAATCTTTTTTAAGTAGAAAGCTTTCGTGGTGGATATAGTTGCCCTTTGATTTATATGTGTATACCAGCCGGCGACAGAGGCTCCCAACAGTCGGATCCTCGCAGGACCAGGCGGCCTGGCTGGTGGGCCACGTGGAGGGGGAGTCCTTCTGCAGATTGCTCAGATGGAAACTTCCTGAGCATTCAGATGGGCCTTGGAAAGAGAATCCATTGCGAGCTCCCTAAGCTGCAGCTCCTTGCTGCTCATCTGCACCTTCCGTCTCGATGGTGAAGGGGCGTGTGTCCATGAAGAGTGGTGACGGGAAGAGACTTGGGGAGTTCCTGCCCTTGGCCACCTTTGTAGTTTTTTCTAAGAGGCATTTGCTTTTAGCTGTGAATTACCTCAGATCATGATTTGATTTCCCTTTCTGGTTTGTTTTCTGTGCCTCTCTCACATGCACAGAATCAAAAAATAGAAAAAGATGGATATTTCTTCCTGAGACTTGCTCATCTGTGTTCTCAGTTCTCTTCTGTGTGTTTGTAATAGTCATTGCTGGTTTGGGATGAAGACAGAATAAAAACACCTGTGGGTGGAGCTGGAGGCCGATGCTGTCCGCAGCTCTCGGGGCTGGCGGCAGGGCCTGTCCCTCTCCTCTCCCAAGCAGCAGCAGCAGCAAGCATGGCTGCTGTGCCCTTCCTCCACAGCGATGGCCTCCCTGCTCTGGGGCAGCTGTGGACCAGCCATTGGAGGCCAGGTGGCTGTGGGCTGGCGGGCAGGCTGGAAGGAGGGCGGACGCACAGCCAGCAGAACCACCCAGGCCCAAGGAAGGCAAGACCAAGCGTCTGCAGCTGCTTGTCGTCCCTGTCTGTCTGTCCTCTGACATTTAGGGGAAGGATTGGAGGAGGGCAGAAGGCAAACTTGTGTTCTTGATAGCCTCCTGACGACAGGGTTTCCTTAGACTTGAAATAATCTGTGCATGAAAATCGTTAGGCCAGATGGAGAAGAGGGAGCTTGAGAAGGAACAGATTTTGGTGGGATGGAGAAAAACAGACGAGCAGATGGACCCAAGAAAGTTTTTCTTTCTTCATTTTCAAGGACAGATAATTGCACAGATCATGGGGTCTCTGAGCTAGGCTCCAGAACCTTGGGTGACAGTGACCTATGCATGTCACCAGAGCTCCCCCTTGATCAGTACAGCAGGAGACAGAGGGGTTAAATGTTTGCCTCATCACTTGCAAGGATGCTGTGAAGGCTTGAGGGGAGATGTGGCTTCCAAAGAAGATTCTCATGGTAAGAAAAACAGCTTCAGTGTGTGCTTTTGTGATTTGATGTCACGGGCACACATGCCAAACCTGAGAGCACTTCAGTCCTCTTGAGGGGTCTCACTGAAAAAAGTTAGAGTCTCATTTTAAAGACTAACAGCAAAGGGTGCCATGAGAAGTAGCTGAGCATCAAGATCCCTGTTGCGGCTATTTGAGCAGAGTTCCCCTACCTCCTGGCCTCCAAGAGCTAACAGTTGGTGGAGAGTAAATGAGGTTCTGAAATATTTGGAAAGAAAGAATTGTAAGTGGACAGTCCACTGCATGGGGGAACAGGCAGATTCCACACAACCTGGGGACACTTGAAGCATTTGATGGAGCTCTCTTGCTGGAAAACACTCCTAAGTTCTTTCTCGCGCTCATTCTTGTTTGACGGTAGAACTTTCTTACTCAATTTCCCCTTGGCTCTCATGGCAGCCCCAATCTACCCCTTGGATCATGCTTTCCTTTGCCATCCAGAGATCCATGTAATCAAACGTGGAGTTTTGCAGCTAGCTCAACCCTCAGGATGGCCCCGGGGTTGTTGGCTATTTAGAATAAAAGGAAATGTTTCTCTTTTGACGTGTTCCATCCTGGTCTTGTTCTCCCTGTGCATTCTCAGGTACTGTTTGTCCTCCTGTGGGCACGCAGCAGTGCTGTTGGTCCCAAACACTCTAGAGGCAGGTGGTCTACCTGGAAGACTGAGGCCTGGTCTGCAGACCTAGGCAAAGCACGCTTCCTGGGGACTGTGATGCTTGTCCCTTGCTTGGTCTTATCCATTTTGGATACATGGAAACTTGTGATATTTTCCGGGCATATATCCAGTGACCTCTTAATAATTGTTACTTACAGCAAGGCTAAGATTAACTGGCTTGCTAAGATCAAAGCCAGGAAGCAAGCGACCTTTCCTCTGTGAGTTACTTACTTAAATAACGAGCATTTCACATTGGCTTATTTTAGATAAAAGTGGGAATTGGTGAAGGCTTAGGGACCGTGGGTTACTCTGTGTCAGTACCAGAGAATTTTAACTTGCAGATCACAGATCTATCTCCTTTCACCAACAAGTGGCAGTGCCCCTGCCTGTGGCCTTCTGGGGCAGCCTGCAGTAGCGCAGCGTTAACACTAGATGGCGAACGCTCAATGTCGCAAGACACCATCCCAGACCAAGAAGGGGCAAGCTGGCGTGGGCACCATGCTTTCTACAGGGTGGTCCAGAAAACTGCAGAGGCAGAGTGCAGCCTTTTGTTCTTCTTGTGAAAATGCTTCCCAGGGCAGTGCACAGGGCAGTGTGCTTCGAAGAACTTCCCTGTAGAGCCTGACCCACCAACATTGGTTTGCTATGGCAAAATCTCTCTTTTATGAAAACACAAATAAGTGTTTCTGTCAGGCATAAACTCGTTCTTTGACCTCTGTTCAAAAAGATATGGAACCTGGGTCAGACCCACAGAGCCCATATCCCTACTGGAGGCCACAGGAGGCCAGCTTCTGCAGATGTCAGTCACTGAAACCAATCATGACAGAGCAAACGAGGTAATCATCGTTTGAGATGAAGCTGCCTTTTTTCCTTCATAACCGTCTTTTCTTCCTAAATAATTAAAGCTGTTAAGTCATAGTGTGTCGAATGAGTGATGTCATTTAGTCTAGCGTGGCAGTTTCCTGCATAGTAATTCTAATTTATTATGTCCCTAAATAAGCAGGAGCCAAAGACAGAAGGCCAGGGCTTGACTTTGAGGCACTTCCAGGCCAGTCGAGGAAGTCAGACAAGGGCACATATAAATAAAACTAGTCACACAGGCGGGCTCTATTTTCACTAGGGCATGCCGGTAGAAGGTATTTTTGAATTGTCCATGACACTTATGCATCTTTCTGGATCATATGGGCTTATTATAGATATGTGGGACTCACAGAGGACAAGGAGAAGATGAAGCTTGCCGTAGTCCCTACCCAAAGAGGACCACTACATTTGCTTGTGCCTCCCAACCCACCACAGACCAATTGTTATTTCCTCCTAACCCAAAGAAATATGCTCATTTCTCCATACCAGCAGCCCTGGACAAGCCATCTGCCCCATAATAGCATCTTATTATTGATGAAATACCTGTAGTCTCACCTCCTGATCTGTTTGTTTTACAGCCTCAAGCAGCCTGCCACCCGGCTGTGTTCAGAATTGTCGATGAGATGTTCAGGTAAATATTATGCTGTTTCTGCTAGCAGTTGATCTAAAAATGCTCAGCTTCCACGCACGAATGAAAAATCTGAGTTGTCTGGCTATACCACGGGAAATGTGAGTTTCTGACTCCATATCTGGCTAGGCTTTTTGGTAATTAAAGGTAAAATCAAAAGTCAATGTATATTTAAAAGCCTATTTCAAAGAATTAAGATAACTTTCTTTTTTGTGATCGTTTTAAATTCTAAAAGCAGAATCAAACTGGATGTTAGGATCATGAAATGTCCATGTGGGCTCTTTCTCAGCTTGAATGAAGAGGTGCAGTTCCCTACCTCACCACACGAGGGCCGCTGTGCTTTGTAAAAGGCTTTCAGCCAGGAGCAGCGGAGAGGCACAAATCAAGCCGTTCTTAACAGAACTCCTCTGAAAGGCAGAGCAAGCCATGCGTGTTATCTTCTAACTAGCTCATGACTTTTTATTTTAAAATGTGAGTCCTCTGGGAGGGGCATTGGATTTAGAGGGCTAGGGGTGAGGGTCGCAGCATACTGGGTTATGGCTCGCAGTCTGGGAGATTAGCCACAGAATCCTGAGACCAGGCCCCCTTTGAGGGACTTGTCACCCAGAGTGTTTCCAGCCTCTGGCAGATGCTGGGCAGCAGGGTGCAGACCTCCCACGCCCTCACACACAGGGGTGATTCTGGGGAAAGGGAGTTTACAACAAATAACTTGCCACTGAGTCGTCTTGAAACATGCCAACTCTCGGCTAAATGGCCCTGAAGTAAGATGGCAAAGTTCTGTCTTAGCGTAAAGCAAGCCAGGCTGCAGGGTTTTGGTTTGGCTTGGTTTGTTTTTTTGTTTTTGTTTTTTTTTTTTTTTTGCTTAAACAAGCAAAAAGCTAATTGTATGGAAATGCATGGAAACAAATCAGGTATATGGAGATTTTTCCAGCCGCTTTGCTGGGGGACTTGACTGAGCCATTTGGCCCTTTGGGGCAGCTCTGTTGCTGCTTATGAAAGCAAAATGTCTGCTGATGTCGCATGTTGGGCCAGTGGTGCACAGATGTCTGCAGGAACACACAGTCTCCGCGAGTGCCACGCAGTGTTAATAATGCACGAACCAAGAACGAGTTCATGCCTTTGTAAAGAAAGTACTTAGAAAGGGAGCGACAGGTCTCTCCTGCCTCCAAGCAGGGACTGCAGTCTGATGGCGGCTGCTGAGGCTTAGCCCAGGACGGCCCCTGCTTGCCTTGACCGCAGTCGGGGCACAGGTTTGCTATGTTACTCAGGCGTTGATCCTGTCTCGTTGTGCAGGTGTGCACTCCTGGAGACGGATGGAGCCCCGGAAGTCCTGGCTGCTCTTCAGGTGTTTACACGGTGCTTCCTGGAAGCTCGGGACAAGGAAAACAAGCAGGTTTCTTACGCTCTGTGTGTCACTCAGCTTCGCCCCAGAGGAAAAGGCTGTTCACCTGAAAAGAACACTTTTATTTTATTTATTTATTTTTTATTATTAGTTGTTCAAAACATTACAAAGCTCTTGACATATCATTTTTCATACATTTGATTCAAGTGGATTATGAACTCCCATTTTTACCCCGTATACATATTGCAGAATCACATCGGTTACACATCCACATTTTACATATTGCCACACTAGTGTCTGTTGTATTCTGCTGCCTTTCCTATCCTCCCCCCTCCCCTCCCCTCTCCTCCCATCTTCTCTCTCTACCCCATCTACTGTAATTCATTTCTCTCTCTCGTTTTTTTTCCCTTTCCCCTCACTTCCTCTTATATGTAATTTTGTATAACGATGAGGGTCTCCTTCCATTTCCATGCAATTCCCCTTCTCTCTCCCTTCCCCCCACTCTCGTCCCTGTTTAATGGTAATCTTCTCATGCTCTTCCTCCCTGCTCTGTTCTTAGTTGCTCTCCGTATATCAAAGATGACATTTGGCATTTGTTTTTTAGGGATTGGCTAGCTTCACTTAGCATAATCTGCTCTAGTGCCATCCATTTCCCTGCAAATGCCATGATTTTGTCATTTTTTAGTGCTGAGTAGTACTTCATTGTGTATACATGCCACATTTTTTTTTATACATTCATCTATTGAAGGGCATCTAGGTTGGTTCCACAGTCTAGCTATTGTGAACTGTGCTGCTATGAACATGGTTGTAGCAGTGTCCCTATAGTACTCTCTTTTAAGGTCTTTAGGGAACTTATTTGTTCGTTTGTTGGTTGTGGTGGGGGGGGCCAAACCCCAGCCCCTGTATGTGCTAAACACCTACTGCCACTGAGCGGTTTGCGACAGTTTTTTGGTCAGTGATGGTACTGGGGCCTTTGTCACTGAGCTTCGTCCCCACCCCTTTTTATTTTTATTTTACTTGGACCCAGGGTCTCACTAAGTTACCCTGGGGGGGGGGGTCTTCCCTAAATTGCCTTGAATTTGATCCTCGTGCCTCAGCCTCCTGAGTCGTGGGAATTACAGGCATGGCCACCACACCTGGCTATTTTTAGTAATTCAAATGGACTTTTGCTCATGAAGAAAGTGTCCAAATAAATGCCCCAGCAAAGGTGAAACCGTTTTAACTGAAAATAAGTCAGGACACTTTCCTGCCTGGTACCTGGTGCTGTGTTAGAGCTGATGCACCAGCAGGTGGCCCTCAAGGAAGACCCCAGGCCGGGTTTACACTTTGTCCCTCTGGCTGGATGAACCCTCAGCCAGGGAGAGTCCTCCTGCAGCCCAGCTGGGCAGGGCCAGGTAGGAAGGACCACTTCTCACAGAGCAGCCCTGGTCATTGTTCATGCGGGTGTCCATCCTGTCAGAGCCAGGGGTGGGGTAAAGGGGGCAGGCGAAGACGCCAGTGACAGTGCAAAGAACGGCAGTGACCAGGAGGTGCTATCCGTTGGCTGGAGGACCCGAGGGCCCCCCAGCAGAGGTGACAGCTACCAAGGTCACTGCCCAGGAGAGAACTGTGTGGAGCGGGGGCTTTTCCCCCAGAGAACTCTCACTGCGGGCGTTGTGAGGGGCCTGTGTCTCATGGCACAGATTTGGCATGTGTGTGTGGCTCTTTGCTGCTCAGAGTGGCACTGGCTGCCTCCCCAGGAAGGACGGCAGGTCCCCTCTGTGCTGTCTGCAGTTGATCTGTAGGGCACAGCTGGGATGCTCGGCCCTGGGGTCCCCCTGCTCCCCTAGCCGAAGAAGCCGCTCAGGTCTTAGCAGATGTCCCTACTTTCTAAGGCAACAATAAGCATTTATGGTTGACTTTCCCCGTCCTCCATTTCCTTGGGGCCGTCAGCTAGACTGCAGCAAACGGGGATCTCAGTGGTGCTGACCCTGGAATTTGGGAGCAGAGCTCCACGGAGGGCACCGGCTTTCACAGCCGTTCTGAGTTGTCGCCGTAGCGATCATTCCTCGTTCTCCTGCACACTCTTTATATTCCCAGTTAGGACCTGACCTCCAGCGAGCTGGCCCGTGGCCTCCTGGGACCCCAGGTCGGGGCAGAGGACCCTGCCAGAGCAGTTGTGCTCTTCAGCCATAGCCCCCTCCCCTGTTCCCGGGCCTCTGGCCTTGGACGCTGTGCCTCTGGACTGGAGTTGTAGTTGCTTTTAATTCAGAACAGTGTCCCCGCCAGGCCACGGGGTCTAGGGGCTTGGGGGCCACTCACTGGGCCCCAGCGTGAGGTGGGCAGAGACAGAGCTGTTAGCCACCAGAAGAAGAAGAAAATAGATGGCACCAAAGATGGACCTAAACCCAAACATTCCAAAAGCACATTAACTTCAAAAAGTAGGGCTGGGTTGTGGCTCAGCGGTAGAGCTCTCACCTAGCATGTGCCAGGCCCTGGGTGCCATCCTAGGCACCACATAAAAATAGACAAATAAATGAATAAAGGACTATGTCCCACTACAACTAAAAAAATAAATAAATATTTTTTAAAAACTTCAAGAAGTAAATGAATTAACTAAGTATTCTAATACAAAGGCAGATATGTCAGATTAAATTTAAAAAAAAACAACAACAAATGACCAGCTGTGTGCTGTTTTCCACTTACCCATCCTGAGTATGAAGACCAGGGTGGGTCGTTCGAAGGAAAGGGAGGGATAGAGATGTGTCATGCAAAGAGGAGGCCACGTCAGCACAGATGGAGCCCAGACCAGGGGTCCACCAAGAAGGAGGGACATTTCCTGAGGATGGAGCAGTCGGTTCATCAGCAGAAATACCAACCATAAATGCCTAGTAACCCGTCCAAAATGCATAAAGCAAAAACTAACCAAAGTAAAGGAAGAAAGAGAGAAATTCATAGTCACACATAAAATCCTTGTGAATGTATTAAACAGAGACGCACGGCCCCCAACCAAGCACTGCACAGCACTGCTGAGGAAACCAAAGCCGACTCGGACGCCAGGGGAGAGCAGATCAGAGCTGTTGGTGCCCCTTCTCCCTGGGCTGACCGGTGCCTTCAGCGAGTCCCAGTCCACCTCAGCAGCTTGTGAAATGGAAGTGAACAAGCTGAATCCCAAGTCACATGGGAGTGCAAAGGACCTGCAGGGGCCGGGAAGTTTTGCAAAACAAAATCAGAAGATCCACCGGCCAATTTCAAGACTGAAAGCTACAGTCATCGAGACTGCAAGTTACTCGCAAAAGGACAGACAGATTTCAACAGAGCCCAGACAGACCCACACACACCTGTGTGCTTAGTTGATTTGTGACAGGGCCGCTCAGTGGGGAAAGAAACGTTATTAACAATCGGTGTGAATAGCTGGATGCCCACTCGTGGGGTAAGCCAGGCTTCTTAGAAGGAACGAAAAACAGAAGCAGTGACCATAGGAGGAGAGTGGCCTGGTCACACTACGTCAGGATCGAAGCACCTGTCCTTTGGGCAGAGAGCACTGAAGAGCGTGCACAGCAGGTCCAGCGGGGAGGAGGCGTCCTCTCCGGCAGGACTGGCCAGCAATGTGAGGCCTTCTCTCAGCTTCCTTAGAGGCAGCCCGATTAGAAATGGACCAAAGGCTTAAAGATACATAAATTGGTGGTAAATATATGAAAACTGTTTGGTGTCATTGGCCACCGGGAAAAGCATGCGCGAGCTGATGTCTTCTGACACTAGAAAGGGCAGAATCAATCAGCATCTAGAACATCCACACGTCCCTGGGGGGAGTGAACTGGCACCGCTGGCCCAGTGACCCTCTCCTGCTGTCCTTGCCCAACAGTGGGAACAGCTGTCCACAAAGACAGGGACACGAATGTCAACTGCAGCTTTGTCCATAATGGCTCCAGTTGGGAACAACCCTGATGACTGTCAGCAGAACAGTGTGGGTGGACTGTGGCATGTCCCTGTGGTGACTAATTCTGAGCAACCAACCAAGAATGAACAACTCATGTGCAATTACATGGGTGGACCTTAAAAAAACAAGCTGGGCCCAAACAGCCAGAAGTGAAGGAGTGGATGTGCTGGGGTTCTGTTTATGTGGAACTCGAGAACAAGCAAGGCTAATCCCTTGTTGAAATCCAAACATTAGCCTCCTGGGTGGGGTTCTGGGCACCTAGCGGGGGTGTGTTGGTTGGTGCTGGTGATATGCTCTCATATGTCTGCCAGACCCCCGCGCCGGGCTCACTGCCTGTGCATCTTGGGCTGGCTGGGTTCTGCCTCTGTGGGAAACAGCTGCTGTGCCTTTGGGGTGGGTGCTCCAGCCTTTGGCCTGCAGAGCCTGTGAGCACCGCCATTGTTATTGTTTAAACACCAGGTGGGAATACCAGCTGATCTTACTGCAACGGAAGGTTGTGCAGTTTTTTTGATAGCAGGAATTGAACCAGGGGTGCTTAACCATTGAGCCACATCGACAGCCCTTTTTTATATTTATTTAGAAACAGGGTCTCACAGAGTTGCTTTAGGGCCTTGCTAAATTGCTGAAGCTGGCTCTGAACTTGAATCCTCCTGCCTCAGCCTCCTGACCCGCTGGGATTACAGGCGTGAGCCACCAAGCCCGGCTGAAATGGGAGAGCTACATGTGTAACTGGGTTTGTGTCGGGTAAAGAGCCAGATAAGACATGGAGAGCATAACTTCATTTTTCTTAAGTCCCAAAAGGTGAGTTTAAGAGGTTTGTTACTCTGGATAATATTTATAAGGTTATTGGAAGCATATTTCCTTTATCAGAGTTTAAGAGACTGTCTGCCCATGTCAGTACAGCGGGTCTCGGGGGCAGCGCAGGAGGGCTGTCTTCCTCACGCCCTGAGTCTGACGAGTGTGCTCTTCTTACATGTGCTCCCGTTGCAGCTGAGGTTTGCGTTCAAGGCCTACTTTCCTCACGCCCCTGCGTCTCTTGCCACAGTGCTGTCGCAACTTCCCGAAGGTGAGTCCAGACCACAGTAACTTCTGGGAAGACCTTTGGCCAGCAGTGACCCTTCCCGCTCAATCCCTTATCTGTCCACGGAGATGGCCTTGTGTCCAAGATCCCTTAAGCTCCCCGGGCCTCACCTTCTGAGGATTTTGACATGAGAATCTGCTTCGTTTCCTGGTTATAATCACGGACCAAAAGAAGGGGAAAGGAGAGGGGAGAGTGGCTCTGGCTCTTCTGTGAGGGTCTGGTCCAGTACCGGGCCCCGCGGTGCCAGGCGCAGGCTGAGGCGCGGCTGAGTCAGATGAAACAGCTCGTGTGTTTTCCATTCTCTCCACCCCGCGGCCTGTTGCTGAGGAGCAGGGAAGGTGGAGGGCGAGGCCGGGAAAACCCAGGGGAATCTCACCTCACCAAGGGGGTGGATGGAGGGTTGGAGCACTGGTGCCACGCTGACATCAGACCACAGCCACCGCCCTTCCTTCTCAGCCACCGCCTCCATGGGACATGTGAGCTCATGTTCAGGGAGCGCTGCAAACACTGGGGTGCAGGGAGGGTGGCAGCGCTGGGGCCACCACCGGTCCCTCGGCTTCCTTTCTCCCAGACTCTAGTGGGACCTGTGTGGAGGGGCTGGGTCGTGGTCCAGTGCAGGAGGGCTCGCCTGGCCGTCCCGTCCTCAGCACCACAGGGAAGAGGACCCCTGGAGGAAGGCGGAGGTTCCGCTTCAGAGCATTTTACAAAACCAGAATTCCTCCTCCTTTTTTAGGAGATGAAGGCTCTGGCCCAAGGTGACCCATCTGGCGCTGTCCTCAGATGCTGGGGGTGGCCCCAGTGGGATCTCTGGGTGATCACAGTCCCTGTCCTAGACGTCTGCCCCACATAGACCAGTGACTTCAAGCCGAAGTCCAGAAGCTCTGTTGCTCTCGGGGACATGTCCTTTCCCAGCACTGGTGCGCTTGAGCACTAGAGCGGTGTTGGGATTGGAAATGTATCTCGTGTCTACTGTGAGGTCCCCGGGGCACAAAAGAGGGTCACTGCTGGGCCCTAGCTAGCAGCCATTAGAGAGGGAAGTAAAATAAGTAACTAAACCACTAAAAAAAACCATGAAAATGAAAAACACCCAGAAGCTGTGAGCTGAAGGTCGGGGAGCTCCGCGAGTCGAGGCGGTGCCCTGTGCCCTGGCACCCTGGAGACGCCCTCAGTACTCCCATAGCTGTCCTCACTGTTCTGTCACCCCCGTCACGTGACCTTGATGGGAGCTGTGAGCACACGCATGCTGGCACACCGTAGAGCCACAGGAGGCCAGGAGAGCGTGCGGAAGCCTTTGTCCGCACGATGCCCACACGGTTTTCCCTCTTTAATGTGAACCAAGGTCGTATTCCAGAGTCTTCACGACCCTAGGTCAGGTGAGCGGTCCATTCCTGTTCCTCATCGGTGGCTTTGGTCCAGTCTCCGTGTACATCGGAACCACGAGTTATAGTGACGGAGCCGAGGTCAGGGGGATGGAAAAGAAAGACCCTGGGCACGGGCTGCGTGGCCCACGTGACAAGGTGGCTGCTTCTGAACCCTTCAGCCACTTCCTTGTAACTGCGTCAGGCGCTTTCACGTTTGTCCCCGCGTAACTTGGACAGATGTTTCCTCCCCAGGCTGAGAAGATCCCGGCTGGGAAAAGCAGGGCTTGGTGCCATGAACCAGGAGAGGAGAGGCCTGTCCTCAGACTGCTCCAGGCTCCCCACAGGTCGCTCCTCCTGGGTTCGGCGCTTCCCAGGTCTGCCTCTGACTTCTTTTCTGCACCCATAGGTCTCCCCCAGGGACGCTGGCTCCAGCGACTGCAGCTCATCTCCCAGCAGCTCAGAGAGGCCGTGGAAAACCAGCCCCAGGGGTAAGCAGCGCTGCCCAGGCCCCCTCCCGGCAGGTCCTTCCCTCAGCCCTTCCCCTTGACCGGCTGCAGGCCCTTCCCTGGCCCTCATCACACAGGCCGGCACCTGCCTGGTGAGAGGTGGGGGGAAGCCGCGCGGGTGGGCAGGGCAGGTCAGGCAGATAGACGGAGCGCAGGTCTGTGACAACCCAACCCAGCCAGTGCCTCTGGGACTGGATGGGCTGCTGTCCTCCAGGGACCAGGACTGAGCGGCCCCTCCTCCCGAGGGCTCAGACACAGTGGCTAGGGAGGCAAGGACAGTGCTTAGAGCTCGGGGAACCCCTGGACGTGAAGGAACCCGGGCCAGGTCCACTGTGAACTGGCTGCAGAGAAGCCTGGAGCACTCTTGTTCCTGTAGCCAGTGCAGAGGGAAGTGCCCCCACCACCCCTGACCTCAGGCCCGCCTGCCCCATTGTCTGTAGGGCAGGCAGTCACCTGCCAAGACGTCTAGAGAAAAGCAGCCTTCACCCTCAGCAACCCCGGGCCCTGTGTGATGGGGAAGCTTGCAAGAGGCGTCAGCCTCCTGGCACCGACACCCCCTGAGGACAGGAAGGCAGAGAACACACCGCTCTGCAGACATTCCCCGTTGCTGGAACGTTGATCAGAACCTGGGTCTCCCTGGAAAGGAAGCCGCACGGGTTTCTCCCCATGTCCTACCTCTGCCCCTGTGTCCCAAAGGCTGACTTCCTTCTGGACCCCAGGACCCACTTCCTCTCCTGCTCTGGCCTGCCCGGGCCAGGTCCACTGTGAACTGGCTGCAGAGAAGCCTCCCCCCTATGGCAGGGAGGCCCACCTCCACAGCAGCCCAGCTGTGCAGGCCAGGCGCAGGCAGGAGGCGCTTTGCAGGGTCTCATCCTCTGTCGCATCTGCTGTTACCAGCCCAGACTTTTCTTCCTCACAGCTGTGCTCATTTAAGGAACCTGGTGGTAACACAATGTCCAATGTCCTCAGAGCACATGGGGCTTGTTTTTGGTTTGGGTGCTGAGGACTGAACCCAGGGGTACTTAACCACTGAGCCACATCCCCAGCCCTTTTTTATATTTTATTTAGAGACAGGGTCTCCCTGAGTAGCTTAAAGCCCTCACTGAGTTGCTCATGCTGGCCTTGGACTTTTATCCTCCTGCCTCAGCCTCTCACCAAGCCTGGCACACATGGGGTTTTGAGAGGTGTCCCTTTAGATGCTTTCTGCTGGGTTCAGAGTGGCACTCTGACAGGTTTTGAGGGTAGCTGTGTTCTTTGCAGGTCATTCTAGAGTGAACAAGTACAGTTTAAGCCCGATACAAACATTAAAGCTGCCACGCACGGAGGTGCACACCTATAATCTCCACAACTCAGGAGGCTGAGGCAGGAGGATCACAGGATCCAGGCCAGAAAGGGAAACTTAAGTGAGATCCTGTCTCAAGATAAAAAGTAAAAAGTGTGGAATGCCCTGGGTTGAATCCTCAGCCAAAGAGAAAGGAAAAGCAAAGCCAGGCTTCCTGGCTCTGTTGCAGATCCCGTGGAGGGCCCCTGCAGACCTGGTTTCTGCTCGCCCACTTTGGAGGATGGGCTGACGTGGCCGCCGAGCAGTTACTGAGGTCGGACATGGACCCGCCTGCAGCCTTGCTGTGGTTCCTGGCCTTCTACCACGGCCCTCAGGAGGGGGCCCAGCAGAGAGCACGGACCATGGTAGGTGCAGGCCACTCTGCTCAGGCTGGGCTGCAGAGAGGGCTTGCCTTTCCCTGAGTCCCGTCACCCGAGCTCTGGGCTTGTGATGATGTTCCCCTGGGGGACAGGTGAGTGTGGCTGGGCGTGCTGGGGTGCTACAGGGAGGCTGGTCTGCAGCCAGTCCTCTCTGCCATGGCGGCCTGGCCAGTACTGCTCTCTGGAGTCAGTCAGCGAATTCTCACGTTGCGGCTTTGTTTAGACCTCTTTCTAAAGCATTCGCATGATACGAACCGCTTTGCTTCCGAAGGACCGTGGCCGTTTCCTGAATGACAGAGCAGCTAAGTCCAGGACTGGCAGCAGTAGTGGACACAGTCGCTGCTCTCTGAAACACAGTGATCGCAGAAAGCCAGGTCTGTGGAAGGTTGGCACCTCCCTGCCAACGTGTGTCTGCGGGTTTGCAGACCGCCAGCTGCCAGTGCGTTTTGCTGATTTTAATAATTAAAGGGAAGGGGCTTAATTATGTATGGAACAGTGCTCCTTTGCCCCGTATATTCTGCTGTTTGAAAGAAACAGACCAGTACAGCCGTCTGTACGTTGTATCCGTTTAAAGACTTGCATTTTAAAGAAATTACCATAATCTACATATGTATTTGAGGATAGCTATCTGATTAAAAAGAAAACCTTCTATTTCTTCCCTTTTGAAGATCACATTAAGCCAATTAAGGGAAATCCTAGTTTATGTTTCTCATCATCTTATTTTTTATAGTAATAATTAAGACGTATGAAGCACTCATGATTTCTAAAGCCCTTTAGTATGCATTTCATATTTGGCTCTTTGTGAACTAAGTTGGTAGGTATGTGTGGTTAAATTCCTTAGGGACCATAGATACTGACAAAGAGAGATTCACTTTTCAAGGACAGAGACAGAGGTTTTCCAGTAAGATTTAATTTCTAGAAAGTTCTACATTCTACATTGGCACGTGTTTCCACTAGTTAACTTGGTTTGGGAGGTTTTGATGTTTCTTTAAATAAAACTTGTACATATTCCTTTTAAAAAAAATTGTACGTATAGATGGACAGCATGCCTTTATTTTTTTGTTTATTTTATGTGGAGCTGAGGATGGAACCCAGTGCCTCACACGTGCTAGGCGGGCACTCTACCCTGTGCCACAGCCCAGCCCTGGGCATACGTGGGTATTGTTAGTCCTCTGGCATAAAAGCAGATTGACTCCTTGAGAATAGGCGGTGCCCACTGCGTCCTGGCTGCTCCATCCTGCTGACACCAGAGCCTCCGTTGGCAGTGCCGGCCCCTGCCTCCCGGGAGCCTGGCCCAAGGCTGGCATGTGTGACACCCGGGAAGGGGAGGGAGTTTTTCTGGTTGACCCAAAAACACAGACCTCTCGCCTGGGCTTTGCGAGCTTTGAGCCCCTAGTGGTCCACCAGGTGCCTGGAGAAGCAAGGCCTAAGTTGCGTGGCCAGGTCAAGCCTGGCAGCACCTGTGCTCTGCGGCTGTCCCCAAGGCGTGGAGCACAGAGTGGGGCATGGTGCCTGCCTGAGGGCCTGCCCCTCCCTGGCAGGCCACCTTCTCTGCCATTCGGTGTTCATCTCCTCTGCTGATGGAAGCAGATCATGACAACACCCCATGCATGGGGCGTCCAGATGCCCAAGGCTCAGGCCAGGCTCCTCCCAGTGGCCCTGCTGCTCCACCCGAGGAGTCACCCTAAGGGAATGGTTACATACAGCTCCGTGTACAGGAATGTCCTTCACAGCATCGTCTGTAATCACAAACACCGGGAAGGCTAGGCTTTCAGTAGGATGGCTGCCATCTGAACGAATCCTAATGTGTCCTAACCACGGGTGGCCTCTTAGCAGGAGAAACGGTGCACTCAGACAGCATGTTCTGTGGGCACCGTGAACGGCTGGCTCCCAGGGCCCTATGTCCAGTGGGTGGTGTGTCCCCATGCACAGGCGACATAAACCTACTCAGGAACAGTGACTCTCTGGATGGGAGAGTTATAGGTGATTTTATTTATTTATTTTCCTTTTTTCTTTTCAAATTTTCCATAGCATATAAGTTTTTATAACATAGACTAAGAAGTAATATTTTAAGAGAAAAATAAAACTTGTATCTTTCTCCTGAAAAACTTAGACAGCATTTGAAGTATTAGCAGGTTGTATAGAAGCTTCTGGACACGAACGCATTGAAGGGCCAGTCAGTCTGGGCAGAAGGGGCCGCGGGCACAATGGGCGCCGGCAGAAAGTCAGAGGCAGCCCAAAGAGAGCAGAGCAGGTGTGAGCCGGCCTCCTGAGCCCGCAGCCCCAGGGGGTGGCAGGCAGTCAGGGGCAGGGCGTGACACCGCCCAGGGTGGGTGCGTGTGGGTCAGTGTGTCCTGTGGGGAGAGGCCTGCGGGGCCTTTCCCACGGCCTGGCTTGTGGTTGGTGGCGCTGACTCAGCACCACAGTGTGCTGCAGCCTGTGGCCAGCGGCATCCAGGCCTGGCTTCCAGGGAGAGCCGCCCGCGCCCTGCCCTAGAACTGGCCCTGCCCTAGAACTGGCCGTGGGAATGCAGGGGACAGGCCCAGCGCTCTTTCAGAAGCCTGGGGCCTGGCTGTTGGGAGTGTACATGGCATTTCCCATCACGACTCTGAGTCCTCGCATTGTTTCCAAGTCACAGCCTGATGTGCCTTCTCTAGCAAGCAGAGTCTCAGCATGAAATGAGCATTTCTTATGCAAAAACAACCCCCAGACTTAGAACAGTTACCATCATTATGTGGCTTGCACAGACTCTGACCTCTGCCCGAGCCTTAAAGGCATACAGACAGCCTGTCCCAGTGTCCTGGACAAGATAGTTGTGCCATGAGAGTGTGTGTATGTGTGTGTGTGTGTGTGTGTGTGATTGTGCAACTGTATATGAGTATTTTAGTATATTAGTGTGTGTGCGCGTATGTATGTGTGTATGTAGTTTTGTGTATGTGTGTTTGAGTATGAGTGTGTATGTGTGTGTGACTATTGTGTGACTGTGTATGAGTCTATGTATGTGAATAACAGTGTGTGTGGCTATGTGTGTGTAACTGTGTGACTGGATGGCTGTATATAAGTGTGTGTGTGTGTGACTGTATGACTGTGTGGCTGTGTGTGAGTGTGTAATTGTGTGTGACTGGATGACTGTATGTAAGTGTGTGTGTGACTGGATGACTGTGTGTGGCTGTGTGTGTGTGTAACTGTGGGAGTATGTATGGCTGTGTGTGTGAGTGTGTGGCTGGGTGTGTGACTGACAGTGTGTGTGGCTGTGTGTGTGTAACTGGGAGTGTGTGACTGGATGACTGTGTGTGAGTGTGTGGCTATGTGAGTGTGACTGTATGACAGTGCGGATGGGTGTGTGCATGTGTCACCAAGGCAGTGGTGGCAGTACCCGCATTGGGCTCTTGGCGCCCTGGCTGTCCCTGTCCCCACTGTGCGCAGCCCCTTGCTGCATTCTGCTGAGGACTTTTTCCCATTTCCTTTCCTACAACAGAAGGCTGACCCGGGTGGTGCATGGCTGCTCGGTGAGCAAGCTGAGGCCCAGCCTTTCCTGTGTGTGTGGCCCTGGCCGCAGGGCTCTGCCTGCCTCCTTTGGACACCGGTGGCTCCTTCCTGGGGCCTGCTGCAGAGCACCCAGTGCGCTCTAGAAGCCTGTGGGTGCTGCTGCTCTGACCCGACCCTGCCCTTGCCCTGCAGGTGCAGGCTGAGGCCGTGCTCCGCCGCCTCCGTGAGCTGTCGGGAAGCGCCCACCTCTCGGCCAGGGATCTGCAGGCTTTGGGGGAGAGCAGCCCGGGGGACCCCAGATCGCCTGCGTGCACCCAGCTCATCAGGCAGCTCCTCCTCACCTTCCTGCTCTGGGCTCCCAGAGGCCACACCGTCGTCCGGGAAGCCACGGCCTTTGTAAGTCCCCGCTTTCCTGAACCTCCAGGTGGAAGGGTCTTCCCAAGGGTCCCAGGCCTTAGAGTGTGGGGATGAAGGGTCAGTGGGGTGGCCGCTGGGAGGGGCCCTAGCCTGCCGGTGCAGCACCCTCCGCCACAGAAGACCGGCTCAGAGGGAGGAGGTGCGTCTCGCAGGCCACACGGCGAGGTCTCCCCACGGGCTGGTCCCATTGAGTGGCCACTCACGCTGCAGGTCAAAGAGTCTTGCTTACAAAAAAAACTGATTAATTGTGAAGAACTCCTTCCCAAAGCCCAGGTGACAGGAGGAGGAGGGGGTGTGGGCCAGACAGGGATTTGGCAGGGATGTCTTCACTGTGACACAAAGTCACGGGCACCTACAGGAAGCAGGCCAGTTGGACTCCTGGACATTGAAACTGTTGGGCATCAAAGGATACGACCAAGACACTACAGAGACAGTTCTCAGAATGGGAGAAAATGTTCTAAAGTCCTGTGTCTGCCAAGGGTTTGGTATCCAGAATGTGGAAGGAATCCTCAACTCAACAACAACAAAGTCAAATTCGAAATCGGGGTAGCACTCGACTAGGCACCGCTGTAAGGATGTGCAGATGGCCAGGACTGGGCAGATGTCAGCAGCACGGCCACGAGGGAAGCACAGACCGCATCCACAGTGAGGCCCACCGCCCTCCTCATGACGGCCGGTAAAAGAATAAAGAAAGTAAACGCTGAGGCTGCGGAGACCAGGAGGCTGCAGTGGCCCAGCCCCTGTGGAAAGGAGCTTGGCAGTGCCTCCGAAGGCCAAACGGGACTCCCCAGGATGGAGCACTTCTACTCTTACACACATTCCCCCAAGAACTGAAAGCAGGAGCTTGGACAGAGCTGCACAGCACATTCACGAGAGCCGGAAGGCGGCAGCAGACAAAAGGTTGAACCAACTGAGGCTCTTGTATGTGGTGGAATATTATTTGGCCTGAAAAAGGGAGTCCTGGTGCATGGCTGTAACACGGATGGACCTTGAAGGTCTCATGCTAGGGAAAATAGGCCAGGCACAGGAGAATGCCGTGGGGCCCCACGGCCTGAGGTGCCCAAGTTCATGGAGACAGAGTAGAATAGTGGGTGCCAGGGTCCGGGGAGGGCGTGGTGAAGAGTTTCTGTTTGGATGATGGAAGGTCCTGGAGACGGCGACTGAGCTGGCTGTGCATTGTGAGCGTGTTCCACACCACAGTCGTCAAAGCCATGCATATTCACTATGATTTCATAAAGCACTCAAAGTGGGCGCTGGGGGTGCAGCTCAGTGGTGGAGTGCCCGCCCTCGCCGCTGGTCCTGCAGAACAGTGTCCAGGGCCCAGCTCTCTCCAGGCAGGCTCTGGTGACGTGGCTGTGAATCCACTGGTGGGTTCCGTGGCACCTGTTGAGAGCCCTGGGAGACCTCCAGGAGACCCTCCTCCCCGCAGGTGGTGCTGTGCAGCAGGCCCAGGGCCAGCCGCCTCTGCGCTCCCGTGTGCCTAAGAGCAGAGAGCCCTGGCCCTCGTGGCCACCAAGCACAGGGACACTTGGGAGATTACTCTGTGCTTTCACAGAATGCATCTGCGACGGCACAGAGGCACCTGGACGGCACGGCACCCATGGGGAAGCCAGGCGTGATTTCAGCGACGGGTGGACTCTAAAAGTCACACTGCAAACAGAGCAGGGGCGGGTCCCAGGAGTGGGTGGGGGCAGGTGCTGCCTGGCGGTGGAGACACGAGCCGGTTCTGACCTAACTGAGAGAGGCTACGCTTGAGAGCGGCTGAGGGAGGGTCTTCCTTGTCCTCGCCACGCACACGTGCACACGCACACACACGCACGGGAACCTCGAGGCTGTGGGCGTGCAGCTAGCACCAGGCTGCAGTGATCACGTGGACACAGCAAGACGCCACAGGTTCTCCTCGAGGGAAACAGCAATGAAAAATAGAACAGGACTCAGAAGAAAAAGAGCTGTTTTCGCCGCTGTGACCCAAAGACCTGACAAGAACAATTAGAGGAGGAAAGGTCTGTCTTAGGGGCTCGTAACCCATCATCTCACCTCTCAGCTGTCTCGCATCGGCTTAGTGCGCTTTCCAGGGACGCCTCACATCCGAACCTCAGCTTCCAAGCCCCCTGGGCTGGGAGACCCCATGCTTGAGAGCTGAGACGTGCACGTCACTGGGTGTCCACAGCCAGCTTCGCCTCCGCCGGGGGTGAGTTGAAGCCGCTGCTTTTCAGCCGTGTGATCCAAGGGCATGTCACACAGGTGCACAGGGGTCAGTCAGGCTGGCGCAGAGCACCTGGATACTCCAGATGGCGCTTGCTCCTACCTGTGACCCAGGTATAATAAGGGAACGTGTCAGGCAAGCCCCAAGCCCGTCTGGGGGCAGCCGACACAATCCCTCCAGTGCAGCCATTGAGGCCGTCAAAACCAGAAACATCTGGGAGAATGTCACAGCCAAGAAGAGCAAAGGACATGTGACACTAAGAGTGATAGGTATTCCTGGTGGGGCTCTGGGATGGCAGAGGAGAACCATGGGGCCGAGGACTGGCTGTGACAGGCGCCCTTGCAGGATGCCGGCAGGAGGGGACGGTGGAGGACCGGGACTCCACCCCTCTTCGCAGTCACTCATGATTCCTCCTCTCCTGGGGGAGTCCGCAGCCCGGGGTGGAGCGCTGGTCTGCTGGGAGCCAGAGCCCCCCTCTGAGAGGAGACCTGCTTTCCCTTGGCGTGGACGGGACAGCAGGGTTGGAGGACGGGAGGGGAGTCTGCCTGGAGGCCTTTTAACTTTCTTCTCCCCCCGTTGCAGATGGCCCCCACCCGTGACGTCACCCAGGAGGTTATTGGCTTTCTGGACCAGACCTTGTACAGATGGGACCAGCTGGGCACGGGAGCCTCTGGGCCAGGAGCACTGGCCAGGGCACTCCTTCAAGAGCTGCGAGCGCAAGTCTAGCGGGGACGCAGGCCCTGAGGCGCCGTGGGCCGGGTGCCATCTGCCGAGGCTGCGCCCCATCTGTGGAGCGCTCTCTTGAGCTTAGAGACTGAGCCATCGCCATCTCGGGATGGTCAGTAGCACGTAGGACAAAATGAGAAGCCGTGTGCTTGACCATACTTGGCCCCTGTACCCACAAGTGACCCCAGAGGCCTGCCCAGCCCAGGACACCAGCCAGGGACCTCAGCAGGATGGGCTGTTCCATTTCTGGTCCTTCAAGCGAGGTGTGGGACTTTTTTTTTTTTTTTTTTTTTTAATGATTCAAAGTCTTTAGACGAAAATCCGGTCAACTGGGCCTTGGTCTGAAGCTTGGCCTCTTCTCCAAGGTGCTTCCCAGGGCTCAGGCTGCTGTTCTCGGGGACCTGAGAAAGGTCATGGACTCTGGCTCCCTGGCATTCTTCCTCTAGGAGTGGACCCCTCAGGTTTCCCCCAGGGCCCCCTGACCAGCCCAGGGGAAAGCTGCTCACCATGGGGGGTCCCTGGTGCTGAGCAGAGGAGCACATGGCGCAGGGAGCCAGCCTGGCCCAGGGTCTCGGCCCTGGGTCAATACTGCCTGCCACCAAAGGGCTCCTGCTACTACGCAAGGGTCCACAGTGGCCCTGGATGCAACAGGAGAGGGTGACACCGCACCAAAACAAGAATTGGGTCCTAACAGAACCAGCGGCCCTGAGTCAGTGTCCCTCAGTTGAGGACGTGGTTCAGCCTCATTGTGCCTTGCACTGCCCTCGGCTCTGCTGTGGAGGTGTGGAGTGACCCGGGGCACCCTCTCGCCCTCTGGTTTATGTGATGGACGTCTTTGGGTCTTGCTCCTTTGAGGTGTGAGGTTTTGTGGGGTTGGAAGTTCACCTTTAGGGGAATCACGCTGCTGAATGAGCCAGCCCCAGGCCCTGGGGCCTGGGCCTTTCTGCTGGGGAACGTCTTGGTGTGGACATCAGGGTCACTGTGGTGTAAAGGTTCCTCAGAGTGCACAGTGGCCCTGGAAGGAGGGCTCCCTCCTGTGCTGACTCTGAACCAGAGCCTGGGGACCTGCCCTGGGACCTGGGGTCAGCCCCTGTGGACGTGACGAGAGGCTGGATTTGGTGGCAGCACGTGACCCCAACAGGAGGGGCCCCGGAGGCAGAGCCCCCGTGTGGGTGGGCTCCAGAGGAAAATGCAGAGCGTCCTCCTCACCGCCAAGTCCCCAGTCGCCCTCCCTGCTCCCAAGTTCCCTGCGATCCCACCTGACCCTGTGCCCCGCAGTCTCACAGCAAAAAATAAAGCCAGGTGCTTTTCCAGCTCAGGTTCCAGCCACGTTCCTGGAAGGTCTCCTGACTTTTCTGTGCCCTGTTGGTAGAGTCTCCATCCTTGACTCGGTGCCCTGGGCGCAAGAGCTGGCACCTTCCTCCTGGTGCCGACCAGCTGTGGTCCAGTGAGCCCCGGCCTGGTGGGGACTCCTGCAGGAAGGCAGGGCTGGTCTCGTGACTGATGCTTCCCCTGTGCCCTTTCCCATGCCCATAAAGGTACCCAGGGGGAGGTGTTCCAAGGTGGGAACAGGGCAGCTAAGGCCACAGCCCCAGGGACGCTGTACAGCCTCGCCCAGCAGCTCCCACATCCACAGGGACCCCAGGCTGCCGGCCACCTGCTCTGCTGCAGAGAGGGAATGGCAGAGAATCAGGCCCCCGAGGGTTGTCTGGCTGACCCTCCGTCCTCTTCCAGCTGCCTTAGGTTCTGGGGAGGCTGGACATGGGGTTCTTCTAGTTTTTTGAAAGTGGGGGTGCAGCTAAAGGTGCACTTCGTGAGAACACGCGTCAGGCAGAGGCCGCAGGCGGGTCCCCGGGCCACATGGCACCAGCCCCAGCCCTGCTGGCAGTGCACCTATCTGTCGGGGGTCTAAGCCCCCACTCGGCATCCTAACTGAGGTGCCTTCAGCAAGGACGACACTGGGGACCCTAGACACGGGCAGCCCAGGGGCTGGTCCTGGTGTGGAACTCGCTGACCTTCTCCAGCGTTTCTCCTGGGGATGCGAGGAGGAGGCTGTCCCCACGCCTTCCTGACAGCATCCAGCGCCTGCCCGGCCGCCAGCGCCCAGAGCCCCCTGCCCGGGGCAGAACCTGCCACAAAGAAGTGGCCACGACTGGGCACGTCTTCATCCCAAACAGGCAGCTTGCACTGAACCTTTGATGCATTGAATGTTTTAATTTGTCCCTTAACCACCCCCTTCCCCCTGACTGTGGAAGCTTCATGTCGCAAAACCCAGCTCTGATCCTGAAAAGACTGACCGTGGTCACCCTCGGGCCAGGAGCGGCCACCGAGAGGGTGCTGTCCTCTCTGGAAGCCATGCGTAGCGTGAGTGGGACCGTCTCATTCACCGTCCTCCCCCCTCCCAGGCCGGCAGGGCTATGGGGCCGTGTGCCCTGCTCCTCTCGGTTCAGACTCGTGTCCTTTGCCCTCCTGCTCCTCGGAGTCAGGACGATGGCCTCGGCCGGCTCCATTCAGGCCTCCACGTGGCAGCCCGTGCTGCTCTGGGTTTGCTGCCACCCAGCAGCCTCGCTCAGCCTTCTGGGTGACCGTGTCCTGGCACAGGAGCTGGGGCCTGGGACCACGGCAAGGAAGCGTCCACGGGTGCAGATGGCCGTGGATGGGACCCAGCTCCGGAGGAGCCTCCTGGCTGAGCACTGGCTGCTGCTCTCTGGGCCTGTGTAGCCCTCGCTGCCCGGATCTGACTAACTGGTGGCCACAGGTGCTTGGCAGCCTGGTAGCTTTTGGTTGCTGGGACCGAGATTCCCGACGAGGGCAGCCTGGAGGAGGAAAGGCCAGGTCGGCCGGCCAGGCTGCTCGGGCCTGGGCTGAGGCAGAACGTCATGGCCAGGGGCGTGGTGGCGGACGGCTGCGCCGCCTGTGGTCGCCAGAAAGCAGAGTGGGCGTGAGGAGCCAGGGTCACCAGGCACCACCCCCAATGGCCTGCCTCCTCAGCCAGGCCCCTGCCCACTGCCGTGCTGCACTGTCCTCCTGTAAAGCAGGCTTCACCCGAGTTCCCACACTGACCGTCCTGAGCGTGCTGGGGACACTTCAGACCCAAACACAACGGGCAGAAGTAAGAGCCAGCCAGGGGCGGGGGAGGCCGACACTGCTGCTGGGGTGGGGTGCCCGCAGGGAGCTGGAGGGTCCCCGGGGCAGTGGGATCCCTGGGGAGAGCCTGCAGAGGGCAGCCAAGCCCAGGACGGCTGAGATGGCCGCCCTGAGCCCTGGAGGGCAACACTGGGGCTCTGCCCGGGGAGGATGGGGGTGAGGAATGTGCTCCTGATTTGACAAGGAATCCTGCGTCCCAAGGAAGAAGGCACAGATGCCACAGAGCCGCTGTTTGCCTTGCTCTCCTCCCAGCCTGTCACCATCCCCCTCCTCCAGGTGCTGGGAGGGCCCTGTCCTCCCCTGGACCCTGGACCCTAACATGGAGTCGGTGGGTCTGCATTAAGAATTCTGGGTTATCAACCATCATGAGCCGTTTCACAACCAGAGAACCCAAGATAAACTGGGTCAGCTTTGTGTCACTGTGACAGAAGTACCCCCAAGAGCAACCTGGAGGAGGAGGGTCAGTGGGGCTCGGGGTTCCGAGGTTGGCGAACTCCGCTGCTCTGGGCCCCGGCCAGGCGGAGCGCATGGAGGAAGGGTGTGGCCGGAGCTCTGCAGCCAGAGAGCAAGGGGAAGGGGCCACTGGGAGGAGGCCCCCTGCCAGGGCTCCCCCAGGGACTCGCCTGCCCCAGCTGCCACCCAGTGGGCCACTCAGACGAGGGTGGACGGCCCAGGAGCGCCCCCTGAGCACTCCTGCCGGGCAGCCATCTGCAGGGCCACCTCCTATCCGACGTGGCAGAGCGTGCTAAGTCTTGGCCTCCTAGACTCGGGGCCCAGGTCTGCTTATACCACGGATCCAGGTCACCACCCTCATCAAGAGACTCGCAACGAAGCACCTCACGCGTGGACCCCCTCCCGGGCGGTCACCGTGGCCTATGGTACTTGGCGGTTTGGGAAGGAAACAGATCCGTGAATTTTCTCGCCCCACCGCCCAGAACTGGGGTTGGACCCAGGGTCACCCTCCACTGAGCTGCGCCTCTGGCCCAGGATCCTGCCCTGAACTTGGGATCTTCCTGCTTCAGCCTCCAGCCTAGCCGGGACTGTAGCCCTGACTTGAAAATGGTCGTCTGGACTTTTCTGTAGCAGTAGGTGGCCTCCTAAACCAGTGCAGGACACTCCCCGGCCTCTGGTGATGGACAGCAGCCAGGACTCTTGGCTGTAAGCAACAGAAACAGGCACTGGATGGGAGAGGGGGCCAAGATGGCTGGCCAGCGCCACAGCGGGCTGGTGGTGACGCCCTGCAGCCTCCACTGGCCGTCCAGGCTCACGGCCCTGGAATGGGCTCTCTTTGTGCCCACTCCTCTCAGAGCACGACTGTGGGACTCCTGGTGACACTGGGGCCTGCACTGCAGCCGTGAGGGGGGCTGGGCACACAGGTTTATCCAGCTGCCCCGGTGTCACTCGGTGCCTCTGAAGATGTGGCCCACACTTTGGAAGGCAGATGCCACAGTACCCTTCTAGATGGCCCGTGGCCAGTCCTCAGCCCAGCGGTCCACGGCACAAGATCAGGCAGCGGGGCTGGGCAGGAAGCTGCCCGCAGTGTCCATGGCTGTCTCCAGAACATGGCTCCGTTCGCCTCTGAACCCAATGGTCCTGGGTGGCTGTCCTGAGCACTGCAGGACCGTCAACAGGAGCCTGGCCTCCCCTTCCCGGTGCTGGGTGCACCCCTCCCCAACACGGTGACAAGCCAAGCTTTGTCCAGACGTTGCCAAGTCCCCTTCCAGCTGCGGACCACTGCTGTAAGTGGGGGGCTCCTTCCTTTGGAACGACATCCAGGATGTAAACACCAGCTGCTGTGGACAGGACATCAACTCTAACGGATCCTCATGGGAACTGAGCAGTCTGACTCCCAAATGCATGTGAAAAAGCGACCCTCAACATCAGGGTACTGTCCACACACAGCACAGTTCCATGTGGAGGCAGATGACCAGCTCAGAGCCCTGCGGGGACCCCACCACCCTGCGATGGGGACTGGTCTTTGCAGAGGCTTGGCCACGTTCTGTAGTTACCCTTGATTCCCCCCTTCACCCCACATCCAATGGAGGCAGCCCCTGACCCTGACTGTGGCTCACCCACCACTGCATACCACCTCGGTCTTGGACGGGACTCCTTCTCGTGCCCAGCAAACACTGAGGAGTGTCACAGGAGTGTGGGAACGTGGCCAGGCACTGCCATCAACAGGGAAAGGATGGTGGACATGACGCTGGGTCTCCACCTCCTAGACCCAGGGCACTGAAGGCACTGGACTTTCTCCACCCAAGGCCTCACTGGAGGCCACTGGGCCTCTGTCTTCTCCAGAGAAGGCTCTTGCGGATCTGCCTGGGGAGAGGAGGGAAGTCCTGGGGTGGCAGCCGCACTCTGGGCAGGTGGTGTGCTGCCCGGTAAATGCAAACTTGGTTCACAGCTAGGTGGAGCTCCCTGGCCTCTCTCTCCCCTAGAGCTCCTGCCACAACCCGCCCCACTCATTCCTGTCCCCGGCAAGTTCAGCGACTGTCAGAGAAGACTTTCAAGTCCTGCAGGGGCGAGCGCCTCTCTGCACCTCACCTGCAGCTCCCTCCCCTGTCTGGGCCCCAAAGGTTGAAGGGCGCGTCCATGCACCCTGCAAAGCCAGAAGCCACAGGAGAGACGGACACGCTGGCCGAATCCCACACACAGAGGACACCCTGGGGGAGACATCCACAAGGCAAGTCCAGCAGCCAGTTCTAACTTGTGGACCTCTTCTACACATCTAAGGAGGCACTAACCAGAGAGAATCGGGAAGGGACACAAACACTGAGGAGGTGGGTCACAGGAGCTGCCCTGGAGAGGTGTGTCTTCCCTGCAACCCCTTCCCCAAACCCTCTGCTCCCTGGCCATCATGCACATGCAACCCCTCGCCCTCCCACCATGATGCCCAGAGCAACGGAGCTGGCCCCCGTGGACTGAGTCTCTGCAACTGTGAGCCCAAACACACTCCTCGTCCAGGTTGGTCTAGTTGGTATTTTGGTCAATGCAGAGCTAACACAGCTGTCCACGCAGCGTTCCCTGGGTCAGGCATGGCAAGCTGTCTGGAGAGGCGTTCAGGGGCACAGGCCACATGCAGGGACACCCCTTCACACAAGGACTGGAGCGTCCTGGGATTTGGGTGTCCTGGAACCAGTGCCCCAGGCACCGAGGGCGGCTGCGCTGTGCTCCCTTGGGTGTGTTTCCTGGAGGGTGACTGACGGTACCTTGGCTGGGGACACGGGGATCAGTACCCTCACAGTGGTGGGCTTGGGGAAGGGACCAGGAGACAGGGAGGAAACTTCCTTTATGTCTGTATATTGTTTCTATTTCTTTGCATGTTTGATCTGTAAGAAAAAGAGCTGTGACCAGCACACGGAGGTCCCCGTCTGTCCTGGGCTGGCCGCTGTTGGTGCTCTGGGGAGCGGGTCTGTGTCCCTGGTGCTGTGCTCCTTGAGTCCCTGCTCCCTGAACGCGTGTTCTAGCACTGGACAGAGAACCTTCTAGGAACGACCTGCTCCGTGGCTGGATCCTCGTGCCCTGGGACTGGGGCTTCGTGGAGGAGCGTATGGGGCCCTGACCCACCACCACTGTGTCCGCCCAGCCTCTGGCACTGGCCCCTTCCCTGCTCTCCACGTGGGCCTCCCTGCCTGCAGGTGTGCTGGACGCACCGTCTCTGCAGTCACTAAAACACAAAATCAGGACATACCATTCTTTCCTGAGACTGTCTTTTCTTTCCAACTTGACATGAGTGCAGGTGTCCAGCCCACTGACCAACAGTTAAATGGACTCCCTCCTCACCTCCCTTGGCCCCAACTCCCATCTTCTGAAGCGTCCCCCTAACTGCCCTGAGCGTCCCCAGAGACCTGAGTGCTGCAGTCAAGGTGAGGAGCAGGTGTGCCAGCCACGTCCTCAATGCTGCCTCGAGAGGCCCGGTGTCCAGGGGACCTCGCGGATGCACCCTCCCTCTCCCAGAGGCCTGCTCTGCCAGACCCAGTGTGCGGGGGAGGGCTGCCGGGTGGAAGAGGGCCTCTGGAACCCGGGCTCTGGGCCTGGCCACCTCCCCACAGGCAAGAACACCTGCCGGGCTGGCCACGGCCTCAGACCCAGTGCCCCGAGGCCCGGCTGAGGACGCTACAGGTGAAGGGCACAGAGCAGCTGAAGAAAGCAGAGGCCTGGCTGGGGTGTCCTGAGGACGCCACAGATGAGCTGCCTGAGGGCGGCTCCGTGTCCCTGTGCCCGGGCTCTTGTCTCCCAGGCAGGCAGCCTGCCAGGGGAACGGGACAGACAGTCTGCCCGAGGGCACCCAGGACCTGGCAGTGGCCACAGTGTCTGGCCGTGTCTCCAGAGCAGTGGTCCCATCCGAGAGTCCTTGGGTCCGAGGAGCCAAACCCCTGCACTGGCCATGTCAGCTGCTCGGTACTGACCAGACCTGGCCTGTGGGCTGCCTGGAGAGGAGGCCACAGCGCCTCGTCGCCCATGTCACCTGGCCTCGTTGTCTCCCAGCACTAACGTGCCATCGCCAGCTGCAAGGCCACACCTCAGTGACCACGCACCCCAGCCTCTCTCCTGGGCCTAGTACAAAACAAGAGGGGGTTTGAACCGGGGCTCGGCCCCTGCCAGGGTGCCCAGGAGACCCCGTCCTGAAGCCCTCCCAGCTGAATGGCCACTGCTTCCCCCAGGAGGCCCTGGGCCTCGCCTTCCACAGTGTCCTGCTGGTCGGCTGGAACAAACTCCTCGCTGGCCATCAATCTCCCAGACAGCCCCGAGGGTGGGAAAGACCCATAAAGCTCACGCTTGAATAGTGCCCACCAGGCCCTTCCCCTTGTAAACCCCACAACCCAGCTGGAGGGCCATGGTCATTGTGCACAGTGACAGTGACCAGGAGGGGTGGAGGCCCTGCCCCCCACCGAGCTCGGCCTCTGGGAACTGCCCTGGGAGGCCCCCGCAGCCCACCCGGACCCCACCCCCACTCCCAGACGTCTGGCACCTGACCTTGGGCCTGGGCGGCTCTCAGTGCTCTCAGCTTGGTGTCCCCACCTGTGGAGTCCTCCTGTGGGTGGCCCTCGCAGCAGGGCCTGAGATAGTCCACCAGAACATCCCAAGGCTGGCTCCCCACAAAGCCACCGTGCTCTGAAGCCAGTGTTCCTTCTGGGGACCAGTGTGACAGGCCCCGCCCGCCCACAGCCGAGCACCCAGGCTGTGTGGAAGGTGCTGCCGGGTCAGAGGAGCCTCCCCGGCGGGGCGCCTTGTTCACAGGCTGACCCCGTCCAGGCAGCACCCGCCTCACGGTGGCTCCCTCCACAGCACCGGGAGGATCTTGGATGTCTCTGCTCCAGGTGAGGGCACCTTGCTTGTGCTGTAGACGACTACTTTGATGTTTTGATTTGAAATTCCAATAAAAATAAGTGTTTTTAAATCCTTTAATTCTACAGTAGAAGCCATCATGGGGCACGGGGACGTTTGCTCTTATTGCTTTTCCTGACCCCAGTCTGCACTTCCTGTCTGGCCGATTCTCTGCATTTCTCCCTGATGTCGCCCAAAGCCTCACAGCCAGGTGGTGGGTACCATGAGGGGGACAGTCCGCAGTCTGGGTGGTCTGGGGTGACCCTGGGACTGGATGCAGTGGGGACCACGGCCGCTGTGCCAGGCCAGGTCGGATGGCTGCAGAGGGATGGCCAGGGTGAGCTGCTGGGGTGCCAGGCCCACAGGCTGCATGGTCACAGCAAGCACAGGCGCCGTGGTGGCCCCGTGGGGTTTTCACGTTTCTAGGAACAGGAGTTGTGAGATCAGCTCTCCCGCGGGCGCGGCCTGCCATGGGCAGCCTGGCAGAGGCCCCGGTCCTCTCCATGTCCTTCTCTGAGGGCACCGAGAAGCTCGCTCTCCAGCTTGCCCTTTAAACCTGAACCCTGTGGGGACGAGAAAGGACACCACCACAGACCACTGGGTGCCTCGGTGGACCCCAGACACTGCAGGACAGCCCGGCAGGGCACGATCCTTTCACCCTCACGCTCCTGCCCTGGAAACAGCTGGGACTAGCTGCGGTGGGAAGGCCCAGAAGAACATGCGTTTTTCTTGTCAATGTGTTTTTATTTTTAAACAGTATCAGATTCAGAAGAAAGAGGAACACGAAGACCAAATCCTTCACATTTTATTAATACGCCTAAGATTCTTATCCTGCATTTTTACAAAAAAGTATGAAAATTTTTCAAAAATCTGAATATTAGACACATCGACAAAACGATCTGCAGAATCTTCCGGGACTCGCCCAGGAGAGGAAGCCAGGGGTGCTGGCCAGGCCCGTGTGCGTAAGATGTGCCTCTCGGGAATCACAGGAACCTCTGGGCGCAGCCACCGGCAGAGAGGCTGGAATCAGCTCTGCCATGTGTCCCAGACCATCCACGGCTGGAAGGCAAGAGGCCCAGCTCTGCCACACAGACTCCACACCTCAAAGGTGGGGACTGTGTCCGAAAGGACCCTCCGCTGCATGGACTCAGCAGAGCCCTGCTCTGGACAGAGGGTGTGGCGAGATGCACGGTGTTGTCGACTGACGGCTTTAGCAGCCCCCAGCCCCTCCTTTGATGTCCAGGGTCAAGGCGATCCTGGTCCCACCAGGGCTGGGAGGAGACGTGTCAGAGAACCTGTGATCTTTCCTGCAAAAAGAAACAGCAGTAAAGTTTATTACCCGGTCCCAGGGAGGGATTCCTGCTAAAGAGCACCTTTGTGGGCCTCGGCTCTGCGTCCGGAGGACAGGATGAGGCCAGGCCCCATCTTACGCCCCGGGAGTGGTTCACGGTGGCACTGTGCGCCACCCCTGCCCTCACACCTGGCTGTGAAACCCTGTGGGCCATGCCTGGAGGCTTCCTCTACCAGGCAGACCCCAGGAAGAGCGCTCCCCTCAGACTCGTGTCCACCAGAGGCTTTGGGAAGCCTAAGCCGCCTGGCGAGAGGTGGCCCTGCCTCCCTCACACACCGGGGCGGTCACAGGCCCTGGCACCAGCCCATCTGCCCTGAGGAGTGGGAGCGCAATCCTTGGGGTCGCCAGCTCCACGATCTACAAACCCCCACACCATGGGAGCACATACAGATGGACACCACGCTGGCCGCTGGGGTCTGCTGCTGGCCGCTCAGGCCCGTGTCCGTGTGAGTGGACGTCCCACCTGGTGTGAGCTGCGGGCACTTACAAACGGGAAGGCTTTTGCTCAAGGGCTCGACTCCTGTTCCTGCTGAACTGAGCCAGTGTGTAAAATGAGAACTGATATCAGCTCAGTAGGCACCGGAGGGCGGGTCCAACTGACAGCCCGGAGAAGCAGTGCCTCGGCTGGAGCTCGTGCCATGTCCACCAGCGGCTGCAAACACAAGAGAGAGTTCACGGCGCCTGCGAAGTGACAACAGAGCCCCCCACAAATGTGACAGTCACAACGTGGCTTCACTGCACGCAGTTTTAGAAGGACAGCGCCTGCGACCTTTGGTACCTGACCCTTGCGGACAGCCTAGCAAGTGGGCAGACGGGTCTGCAGGAGACTGGGCAGCCGGTGCTCTGCCGCAGCCCTGGCAGCGGGCAGAGCGCCCGGGGCAGGGGTCTCCTCCAGGGTCGTGCTCCACACTGGCCGGGCGCTCAGCAGCACCGTCCCCGTCAGCCAGGCCTTGCACAGTGGCTCCGACTCAGCCGCCCGTCTCACCTTCTCTTCAGGTGCAGAACTTAGCCACTGTGAACAAGGCGGAAACCAATCACTGTTCACCATCAGCTAAGCTCTGCACCTCGTCAGAGAGGTCACCGCGGGCAAAGGTAAAGGGCCGGCGAGCGTCTTCCTGGCCGTGGGCGTCTTTGGTCTCCAAGGGCCATGAGGCGCCTCTGTTCTCCACGCGGCAGGCTGAGGGCAACTACAGGTTGGGGCGCAGCCAAGGTCGTGGTTGCGTGGTAATCCCTGGCAATGTGATTTTAATCTTAAGTCACAAATCAGCATGCCAGGAACCCAAGCAGCCAGGGCACTCGAGAGCAGCGCGGTGCGGGCGCTCCCTGGGCAGGCCGCACACCGCCAGGCCGGCGCACCGGCCGACAGTGCCATCCAGACGCCCAGGGGTTCGCGCCACCCAGCTCGGCACCCAGAGGACCCGGAAGGCCAGGGCAGCTCTGGAACGGGAGGTGGGCGCCCATCGGCCAGCCTGGGCAGAACTCCGCCGGCTGTCCTGCCCGGTTCTCAGCCTCCTGCTTCTGATTCTTGGAGACATGTGCTTTCTCGCCTCAGATCTAAGTGGCCTGCCCGGGACATCTCTGGGGGCCTCTCCCAGGGCAGCAAGAGCTTCCTCGCTGAGGGTGCCACTCGGGAGCAGCCCTGGCTCAGCAGGGACACAGGCGTCTGCTGTGGTCCCTGGGTTTGGCTACAAGAGCAGGGACAGGAACAAAGACTGCGCAAAGCGTGGCAGCTCTGGAGCAGGACGACTCGTCGGCCTGCTTAGGGACAAAAATAAACGACGATAACAATGAAGTCACAAGGAGCTGGCACTCGGAGGACTGAAGAGTCACTCAGGAGGCTGAGGCAGAAGAACCACAGGTCTGGGCGAGCCCAGGCAACTCAGCCAAATCTTGCCTCAAAGAACAAAAAGGCTGGGGATGTAGCTCAGTGGCAGAGCACCGGGTTCAGTCCCCAAATCGGTGGCCCCTGGAGAGCTGGCCATGCCACAGCAACTCCTCCTGTGTGGTGCCATGGCTCCCGCAGCGGCTCCTGCTCAGCTCCTACCCTGCCCTGGGGAGCCGGAGCATCTGACGTCCCACCATGACACTGTGCGTCCCTCAGTTACTCCTACTGTTCCCTCCTCCTGGAAAACAGGGCCCAGAGTCTTCTGGAAGAGCACAATCACACTTGAGAAACCTCTCTTCCTCTTTAGTACCAGAGTTCTTACAGGAAAGTAAGACATTTAAACAGTCAACAGAAATGGGTTTGGTAAGAGCAAAACAGTGAACTAAATGTCCAGCAAAGCGCTAAGAACCTAGACTCGGATCCTGAGATATTCATTAAACCACAGGGAAGCTTTAGGGCAGGACGGACACTTGAGATCTGGTGCTGTTTTTAAAAAAAGGACACAACATTAGGCATATTATTTAAGACTCTGAAGAAAACCCAAGAGGACAAATGGTTCTGACCGTTAGAGGAAGAGCACACCTGACCACCAGGGCCGCGCTCAGCCCCGGGGTCCCCCGCTTTAAGAATGCGGACACCCACGTTTAAAGACTGCCTGCCAGGAAGGAGAGCTCCCAGGCCACCTCCAGGCACAAGGAACGGGGAAGTCACTTAAGCAGAGACTGCAGCACAGTGAGGGGGAGGGAGTCAGGGTGGCACTGAGCGAGGTGCAGGCTGCAGGGACTGGGGAGCCTTGTGGAGGAGAAAGCGCTGCAGGCCGAGGATGGACGGCCGTGGACATGGAGAGGACCGGGGCCTCTGCCAGGCTGCCCATGGCAGGCCGCGCCCGCGGGAGAGCTGATCTCACAACCCCTGTTCCTATAAACGTGAAAACCCCACGGGGCTACCACGGTGCCTGTGCTTGCTGTGACCATGCAGCAGACGAGGTGCTCAGGGACCCTGGCCTCATCCCCAGCGGGCTCTCTGCCTCGGCTGGAAGTGCCGCCCGCCCTGCAAGGCAGCAGGCTGCTGAAACCCTGGGGCACCCTGGTTTGCTGGGCTCCTAGGAGGGGCACGTGGCAGAGCACCTGGGTTCAGTCCCCAAAACCACAGGACAGACGGAGAAAATCACCTCTTTAGAACAGCATCTGGGCTACCACATCGGCTGAGGGTCCATCCATCTGCACCTTGGCCAGCTCGAAGCACCTGCGGGCCAGCTGCTGCTGTCGGGCATCCTCGCTCACCATCAGCTCCCCGTACAGGTACACGCCCATGGCCTATGGGCAGAAGCCACAGTGTCAGACACTCCTCTGCCAGCCCCGTGCCCTGGGCAGCCGTGCTGGCCTCCCCGATAGCAGGGAGCGGTCCTGTAACTCAGAGCCACAATGCCTGGCTCCTCCCTGTTCTCACCAAGGCCCCATGAGCCTCTACTATAGCCTCTGTCAACAGATTCTGGTGGCTTCCCTGGTGCCAGCGAGATGGCATCAGCAAGGCTGGGGTGGAGCCGGGGTCCCCACAACAACCTCCATGGGAACACGGGGGTCTGTCCCAGAGACAGGGATCCTTCAGGGAGTGTCCCAAGTGACTCCTCCTTAAGGCTGTCACCCACCAGGGCAGCAAGGAGCACACCACCCAGCAGCCATGGGCAGGGGGACCCAGTGCCTGTCCCTTTGCCTGCCTGACCACTTCCCACGGCAGCAGACACTGGTGCCCTGTTCTGAGGACGGTGCTGTGGAGACCCCATCTGCACTGCCCCACTCACTCACAGCCACCAGCTGCTTCTGCAAGATGGGGCCCTGGGCCTCTGCCTGCTGTGCGTCCCACCCCTGGTCACCCCAGGATGCGTTCTGCTGGAGCAAGTTAAAAGAAGTGCCGCAAGACAGCACAAGATAAAAACCCAGTGGTCAGGGACTGGAAGGTGCACTTCTGAGAGGCTCCGACAGGAGGCCCTGGCATGGTGAGGAGCCACCTGGGCCTGAAGCCAGGGCTTGTGGGAGCTGCGAGGAGCCACCTTCAGGAAGAGCCAAGGTGCGTGCACACCTGCCCTTCTGCGCTCCTGCTCCACTGGGCAAGAGTGACATTTCTTTGCCACAGGTTTTATGCTGCTCTCAGTGGGATGAGCTGCTCACTCACTGGCCGTGCCCTGGTGAGACCCCACAGAAGTCCCCTTCTCCACACCATGCCCACTCTGCACCCAGTGGACAGCGGCTCCATCCCAGGAGCCCACAGCACGGGGCAGGCAGCTGGTTCAGAGGCACTGCTGGGGGGTGGGAGGGTACAGGGTCCAGTAGGTGCCCAGGGTGGTGATCCCCAGGATGTCCTACGGGGACATCAGAGGCGGCCAGGGAGAACATCCCCCAACACGTTTGCACACACACTTCCTGTGACCCCCGAGTGCAGTGCCATGACCTTGGCCAGGAGACCTGCAGTACACTTGCTCTGCAGAGAGGTCAGTGGTCCACGGCAGGCCAGACCCCAGGAGCACTTGGGGTGCGTACCTCTCTGCCTCAGAGGCACTGCAAGGGGACAGGCTTACGGGGCAAGTGAAAGAGGCTGCAGAGCCACCTGGGCCTGAAGCCTGGGCTTGTGAGAGCCGCGAGGAGCCCGGGCGCTGTGCAGAGGGCGTGGCCGGGAGAGGCCAGGCAGGCCGCACTCCTCACCTGGTCCTCCAGAAGGAACCTCTCCACGTGCCTGTGCGCCTGGGCATGCCTGTGCTTCACCACGAGCTCGCACCACCGGTGGCGGACCTGAAGGAGCAAGAGAAACCAGTAAGCCACAGGCGGACAAGGATGAAGAGCCTCCGCACTGCCCTGGCGGCTCTGTGGCTCAGCGCAAGCTCAACACCTTCTGCCATAAACTCTGTATTAGTCCCGTTTATTTTTAGAAGGAAAAATCCAACTGCTGATGGGGAGGGCTGCTGGTCAACTCCAGGGGGGCCAGGGCCTGTGTCGGGTGGTACGTCCTTGGCTGTTTCAGACCCACCGCACGCTGATGACGCCAGAGAGGACTGGGAAGTGAGGCGCACGCTGGGCTGGCCAGGCGCCTCCCGCAGAGCCCTGTCCCTTCCCCGTGGCCACCCTTCCCGGCCCCCAGAGTCGGTTGGTTCTCAGCTGCTAGTTCTAACCAAAAACCGCGAGGAGGACACCGCTCTCTGAGGTCCCCAAGAGGCCAAGGGCCCCTCTGCATGCATGGGCAGGAGCAGGGCAGGACACCCTCCACCTGGAAGCCCCAAACGCGTGCTGCCCACATGCCTGCTGCCCTGGGCATGGGTGAGCCAACGGGTGCTGTTCCTGTGACAGCTGTGACACTGCAGTTACATCGGCAGGAATCTGCCCGTGGCCACGGGCCCCTGGAATCTGCAGGTGCTGTGGTGGCCCCGCCCCAAGATGCAGGTGGGGCCACCAGGGCCAAGGGCGCTCTGTGGCCAGCCCTTCTCCTCACCCAGGCAGGCTCCTCACAGGAGGTGTCACCTAGCGCTCAGGCTGCAGGGCCACCCTGCTGCTCGGTGCCTGAGCCCTCCACATCACACAGCCACTGGGACTTCTGTTCCCCTGCTGCTTTGGCACCACCCAGAAATGGACACGATCTGTGGGGGTTTTCTATGAAGTTTAACATCTCTGCCTCCATTTTGCTGGGAGTGGACCTTCATTTTATTTTATGTGGTGCAGAAAATTGAACCCAGTGCCTCACACGTGCCAGGCAGGTGCTCTGCCCCTGAGCCCCAGCCCAGCCCACAAAGCCTCCTCGCATCACTCTAGGTCCGTGCCGTCGTAACACTTCCTCGTGATTCGGTTGTGGCAATGAACCAGCATTGTGGCTAGAGCCCTGCAGGCCACACTGTCACCCACGGACCTGGCTCATCTCTCCTCCTTCTACCATAAGCAGATTCACCAGCTAACGGTTAAGAAGGGGTAAAGGAAGGAAAGCTTTCAGGAAGACTCCACCAGGCTACAGGGCACTCCAAGACCAGGTATTGGGCCAGCGCCACCCCCTGAACTTCTGCAGCAGAACCCCTGGGACTGGAGGAGTTTCAGAGGCATAGGGAGATGAGCTGATGGCCCTGGATCCCCACAGCCAAGGGGAAGCAGGTCGGGCGGCAGAAATCTCTGCACCTTGGATAAAACGTGCTCTCCTCCACAGCCGGGAAACCCACGGCAGGCCGCACGGGGAAGGGCAGCCCACAAGATGTTCTGCACAGAAGGAGCAAGTGGGCAAAGCACAGAGGAGCCAGCTCACCACAGTGCCCAAGTCCTGGAAGCCAGTGGGACACGGGGCCCATCCAGGGCCACTCCAGTTCAGAGGCCTTGCCCCTTCCCTTCCTCCCCCTCATGGTGCCTCACGCTCTGCAGACAACCCTGAGGAGGGCCCAGGCGGGTCAGTACAGGCAACACCTATGCTCAGCCCCAGACCGGGGGTCCCTGTTCTGCATCTGTCCTGGGGATTTGGGAAAGGGCCTTGCTTCTCTCGACTGCCAAATGGGAACGAGGGGCATACTGATGACCGGTCCCGGTGTGACCTGACCACCTGTGCTTGGCCAGACAGGTGAGTGCAGCACTGGTTTTCAGACTTGGGGACAGAGGGTTCAGCCCCACCTTCCTCTCCGTGTTTTCTTGGACTCATTTGCACATACAGGAACCACAAGGCATGAGCTAGGCCCACTTTGGGCAGTGGCAGCCTGTCACCTGTCACAAGGGGGCACAGCACAGTGAATCCTGGCTTCCGCTTCTGCTGAGACCCCAGAGGGCAACGCAGCGCCCCACAAGGCCAGGCAGCATGCAGCGGCCTTCCTGTCAGCCCACCGCACTCCGCACTAGGGCGACAGTGTGCAGGGCGAGCTGGCACCTGCTGGGCAGCACCTGGCCCTTCCTAGGGCTTCTCTGGGAGACAAAGGGCAGTCCTCATTCTTCTCTCCAAACTCACTGGGAGCACCCCCGACACACTCCCAGAAGTACCCCAGGGAGACTCCTGGCCCTGGAGACGCTGCGCTGGTGGGAGCAGGCCCCGCTGCCGGGGTGGGGGACAGGGAAGCACAGATCACACCGCACACAGAAGCAGGCCATAAGAAACCCAGGTCCCCCGTACGTCTGCCTTTTTTAAGTGAAAGACTCAATTAATTAAATAATGGGGTGGTGGTCAACTTGTCTTTTTTTAACTTCCCTGTCAAGATTAAGGATAAGCCACAGGAACCTGCACACATCTACGCAGACCTGATACCCTGCGGGTCTTCCACGGTCTCTCGTCCTGGGTCCCAGGCTCCCTCCGCAGCACCTGGGGGAGAAAGGCCTCCCGGCAACCCTCCCTGTGTGCCCAGGGTGAAGGCCGTGCTCACTCAGAGGCTGAGGGCATGCGGGCGGCCGCCGGCCTCACTCCACTAGCCACTGTGCCATTGTGTACCTAGGAGACACATGCTTGCCTGTCCTCGTCCCCTGGGCTGGAGCAGCGGGTGGCTCAGCGCTCCTCAGGGAGAGACACTGGGGTGCCTGCCCTGGAGGGCATGGAGGAGCATCAGTGAGGGCCACGTGGAGACACTGCCCACCCCTTGCAGGAAAGGCGGGAAGGAGACCTAAGTTGGACCGTCTCGCCCCGCAGGCTGCTCGGGCCACAAGCCCACGCTCAGGCAAAAGAGCTTAACGTCAACCTGGACGGCGGAAAGGGCTGTGGACTGCACTCAGTGATGTTAAGGACTCGCTCCTGCAAGCCTGGAGGAAGCCCAGTCGGCAGCAGAGACGGGGAGTGGGGCTGGGGGGCACCGCACTGTTTGACACCAAGACCCCAAAGTCGACCTGTTTCTGACCTGTGCACACTAGGATTGTTTCTAGATGAAAATAAAACATATTCTAAGTAGATGTTCTTCCTACCCCTGTGCCCACTCAGCCCCTGGTCCGTCCTGTGAGCGGCCACCATACCCGTTCCACACACAACACAGACAGATGACAACGTGCAATGCACTGGTTCACACTATCACTAAAAGTGAGTTTACAGAATGTCTTGACTGACCGTTCCAGGAGTAGAGAAAGCAACGGTGCTGGGTATTCTCCTGCAGCATAACTTAGCAGACCCAGTGGACATCTGTGACAACAAAGACTAAAAACCACTTCAGTGCCATTGAGACCAGGGCACAGGGCGCTCTGAGGGGCTCTGCAGGCTCCTCTTCAGAGGTGGGGTCTCCAGAGCAAACTATGCACACCTCTCCCTCCGACAGAGAGCAAGGGGCTTCATGAGGTGGAGCAACATACACTCCTGTCTCCGTGGCAGACCACCACGCTGGGTCACCAGGCTTGGGGACAGTGAAAACTGGCGCCGGTGGAGGTGTTTGCTGCCCTCGAAGCCAGAGTCTAAGAAGGGGCTATTCCCAGAGCTGGAGGCAGCTGCGGTCAGGGCTCCACTGCCAGGGACAGTGCTCACTGCCCACTGGCCCACTCCCCACTGGCTGAGGGGTGGGAGCTGCTTCTAGAACACAGGGGGAACGAGGAGGCCCAAGGTGACAGGGTGACTCGGGCCCAGGTGGACAGTCGCTCTGGGAGGCTCAGAGGCCCTTCGACTAAGAGCATGGTGGACCTTCTCCATGGGTGTGAAATTCTCTCCACAGCTGCTCATGTACTGCCATGTTTGTTCCTAGTCATTGACTTGTTAGATGCTTTTGAACGCTGGGGAACTTGGCTCTCATCTTTGAATTGCAAACATTCTCTCCTCTGTGCCAACCTTCTTCTCCAGTGTGCTCACGGTGGCTCTGCCTGTGCTCCTGACTGTGGAGCTGAGGTCTTTTTCTCCTAATGGCTGCATCTCATGGGTGTGCACACGTCCAGACCCACCAAACTGTACACTGTAAGTAGGCATGCTTTATAGTTCTCCAGTCATCAGTAGAGCTGGAAATGCAACGCTCACACAGTGACCAAGGCCCCCAAGTCACTCAGACCCCACTGCGGGACGGACGGTGGCCCCACAGGCAGTGCCACCCACAGCGGTATTTGTGGCTCTTTCCTGCTTCACAAGGTCCACTAGGTGCTGGTTCTATAGGATTTAGGAGCAGGGACTCCCAGGACGTCTGGTAGCTGATTAAGTGGCCGCCTGCTCTTGTTGAGGGGGCTGGTGACTTGTGGGGGGGACCGACAGGGCTAGGTGCCAGGAGGTAAGGGTGCAGCTATGCAGCTGAGGGGGAGCCTGGGAGCTCGAAGTCCCTAGCAGAAGAGGGCAGGCTGAGGACTGGAGGACCTGGAGCCCCTGGGGGGGTGAGGCCGGCAGGGGATGGCACTGTCAAGCCACACCCCAGGGAGTGCCTCAGGGCCTGAGCACCTGCAGCTTCTCCAACCAACTGCAAAGAGCACTCACTGAGCCTGTCCCCGCACAGCCAGCCGTACGGAATTTCTGTCCTTTTAAGGTACTTATAAAGACCCAAAAGGCCGCACGGGGCTGACTGCTCGTGGCTGAAGCTCGGCACAGGCCGACTCTTCTATTCCCAGCAGAGATCAGAACACAGGGCCGCTGAGCTGGTCGTTCATATCCCTAACTCAGACTCAGGGCCCAGGTCCCATGACCAAGCGGCACAGCCCGTGACAGGTGACTGCTCTGTCCTGGAGCACAGCCCATCGACCCGACATGCTCCACCCAGGCCCTTCAATGTGCTCTGAACCAGCGTCCGACCACACTCTGGGGTGAGGGTGTCACCTGTTTTCTGTTGAAGGTACTTTTGGCTTTTTGGACCATTTACCACTGGGTGGCAAAGGCCGCCCTGGACAACACCTGAATG